GATGCCAGCTGCCTGGCAGCCAAGTTCTCAGCCCGCTCCACCAAGTGTTCCCATACCTGTCTCTACTAGAAGTGGCAGAATTGTTAGGAGGCCTGCGTACCTGAGGGATCTTACTACTTAGGGAACCGGTGCTAATGCGGAGTGAACAATCTTGAAAGGTGAACATTTTTGGTTAGTGCTAATCCGTTTCAAGTTAGATTTACGTTTTCAGTTTCCTGTTATAGTGTTTTTTGTTTGTATATTCAAAGAGGGGAGATGTAACGATGTCACAATAGCCTCTACGAGCTTGCGCAGTACAAAGAGAACTGATAACCTGGATGCATGCACACGTGTTATGTTATGTATTTTTTTCAATAGTTAACTTACAGTTATATTAAAATCGTTGTGTTATCTGACCACGTTACAGCCGCATGATTTGCTCAAACTGTGGACACAAATGTGAAGACACTGGCAGGTTTTCTCGAATTGTGGAAAAAGTGTGTAGGTCTCATTTTTACAGAAATTTTGAAATTTTGTAATCATTATAAAGATCTGCTTCATGGACTGCGAGACTTCACGTTTTATTTAAGTGGTAATACTCGACGCCAGTTATTTATCATCTTTGATTACTGAACCATATAGATTTTTATCGGATTCAAAGAATCACAGTAGAAATTTCTTTTTCAGGTGGAACAAGATGGCGGGAGGACGACAACTACCGAAGATGCATTTCTAGATAGCTCGATCCAGTCCCTTGCAACTTTATTCGGATTCGGAGTGAGCTTTTAGAATTCGGAGTGAAGCTTTTTTGCTTTGACGATCGCCTTTATTCGGGGAAAGGCCCCGTGGCCCGACGGATAAGGCATCTGACTACGAATTAGGGGATTCCAGGTTCGTGTCCTGGCGGGGTCGGCCACGCTTCTCTTTTCGGTGGTTTTTGTTGAAAAAAGAGCTTTGACTGCGCTGCATTGTGATCTTCGTCATGCGGTCATGGGACTCGATCCACAGCGTCATCAGGGGAAAGTTAACATTTCGCCGAAAGAAGGCTCCATAGGGTTTTTGCTCAATGTTGGTTCGCGCGCCAGCGTATTGTTTTTCTTTAAAATTTTTATATTTCGCTTTTCTAGGTCACTATAAGTCATCAAAATGACGATGAGCATGATTGATTTTCTTCAATTTGCTACGGTAAAATCTATCATAATTTTTGCAATTTGTGAAATTTGTCCTGCCGATCATTTAAAAGCCGAAAAAAGGCAGTTTCCTCGCCATTTGCAATTTTGTGTTTTCTTGTTTTCTTCCTGTATCTCAAATTTGGTCTCATGAATTTTTTCTCATCAACAGGGACTACAAAGGGCACAATATGTTTAACGGTCCAGAAAATCTTAAGAAATTCCACCGAAAGAAACGCGATTAATCTTGCTCGAAAGATCCCTATTTTCTTTGTCTCAAAACATTACACATAAAACGGAATAGTCATGACTCCGAAACGTCGGATTTTATCGCTCGTTTTTACCGTTTTATGTTTAAAGAAGTCTCTTTTAATGCAAAACATTACGTAATGGAATAGAATTTCGCCAAGATCTATATCTGAGCATACGTAAACTTTCGGTTGACCTCTGTTTCAGGCGTAGAGGGCTAATAAATATTACGGGTTCAGTTTTTGGAAACCCTAGATTCCATCACATAAAAACTGTATTGTGTTAAAAACTGTTTTTAACACACCTTTTCAGATAAGAAAATTACTTCCCAATCAATTCCCAACGATGTTAGTTGCTGCCTGAATATTGAAAAGTGGCATTCTACTAGAATAAAAAGTCACACTTTAGTGGAAAACCCAGTCGAATGAAGAGGCGAGAAGTGGCTGGGATTGAAACAAAGTATGCTAATTTTTGTATAGTTATCTTTGTGAAGTAAATACAGCACTCTCGTTGAAAGATTGAGTGTGTAGCTCGCTAGTATGACTAGTGATGGCAACATTTACCAACCGACTCCCATTTACAAAATCAGTAAACAATTTGGCCAAAAAATTGAGGAAAGAGGAGAGCTACATGTTGAACAAAAAAAGCATACGTAAGTTCAGAGTCATGCGGTGCAATTTACTAAGGTGTTGATATACATATCTCTACAAGAAATAAAAACGAGCCACGAATTGTGAGGCACTTTCGTTTTACGCGTATTTGTTCAGATGCAACACAACTTGTGGCCACATGCATCGATCAAAACTCATTTATTCCTTCAGAGTGTATGCACTGGGCCCTTAGCGTAGCTCTTATAAATACCTCTGTAAAAGCGAAAAAAAGGGCGTAAAAAGAGCTTTCTCGCTATTAACTTACTCTAAAACAGCTGTGAAAGGTAAAACTATCGCTGTGCGTGATTTCTTACCGTTGCTAAATAGAATCTGTTCAACTTCCGCGTACATAACTTAAAATTACCCATAAATAGAGGCTCGATTGTTCGAAATATAGCAATAGAGAACTTGATCGATCACTAAATGGAGTGTTCAAATCAGTTTTGATGCGTTCCAAGCCGTATAATTACGTAAAGTTCGAAATCCAAGATGGCGGATAATTAACATATTTGCAGATTTCCACACTTCACACCACCGAGTTAAGATAAATATGAGAAAAATTTGCATATTTACAGATCTCTATACTCCCAAACTTCGAGACTTCCACACTTCTACGCTACTAGGTCAAGATAAATGTGAGTAAGGTAAAGCTCATTTGCATATTGCCAGATTTCCACACTTCCACACTCTTACACTACCAAGTAACGATACATGCGAGTAAGCTAATCATATATCACACATTTTCACGTTTCAAGGTTACTCTAAGGTGATTAATTTTATGTGCAGCACATTCCATTGTAATAATGTGTTCTGCGCTCTTCAACCCCAAGTAAAAGCCACCAGTTCTGAGGCCGAGTAAGCATATCCGACATTACATCTTTCGGATTCGAATCATGAAAAGGACAATGACTTTGAAATTGAGTGAACTTTATTCATGCCGGAAATCGCCGTCGGCACATCACGAATGGATGCTTTAGATTAATTCATGATTGATTTCTCTCGAAATATTGCTACGTTCTATACACCATTTAAACACTAAGCTTTATAAATCTGTCGGGCGCGGTTGCGTGAATCGATAAGAAATCGCGCCCAACTGCATCTCAGACAAGCTCCCCATCGGTTAGTTTGTATCAATGTTTTCATTTCTCTCAAACCGTATGGCTATTGTAAACATTCATCCACTATTCATTCTCAACCAAATTATAAGAGTCTGTCTCTTGGTCGAGGGTCGAGTTAAAAAGTTTCACAGCTACCAAAGCATAGAAGTCCGAAATTGACGGCATTGAGTTTCAAAATTAAGAAATTATCAAGACCGAGCCGGCTTTCTGTCTTCTGGACAATGTGTGAGGTTACGCCATTGCCACTTGATCGCTAACCCGGGAGGTAAATTACCCGAATCAGCCATTGGAAGATATTCAGTTCTGCTAATCAAACCCTCTCGAGAAATATCTTCCACGCACCCTAACTTGTGGAGTACAGGGGAAGAAAATACTCAGGCTTCAAGAGTAATGCTCAGAGGTTACGCTTTCTCAGCTTTTCTTTAATCTTCTTAAACATCACACATCAAATTTCACCACAGAACCACTAGATCCAGTTGTTCAAGGGCGGATAACGCTACCCAACGGATGAATGACTATCCAGCGGATAAGTGATGGCAAAACGTACTACGTTATCCACCGGATGGAGATTTATCCAATGGAGAGCGTTATCTGACCTTCGAACAACCGGGGCCTGATGTTTTCAAAATAGTCGCACTGCGGAACACGCACTAAAATTAGTTCTAAAAAAATGAGTAAGTATCGGAGGATAAGCTCTCTCAGTTGATATTCATTGCCTAAAGCTTACATACAAATCGATACAAAGTAAAACGTGTGAAAAAGGCAATAATGTGGAGAAGTTTGTAAAGCGGATATATATATCGAGCATAGTTTCTAGAAATGGAGTCTGTTATTTATGCGAATACCATTCTTAAAAGTTCTGTTTTTCACTAAGTTAACTACGTTTCTGTCATCATCTACCCATCAATATGAGGCTCGATCTTTCATGGTATGCTTCCGACGCACATGACAATCTTTTTCAGTCTTCTCTGGCAGGAAAATATGACTTTACAGCAACTTAATGAGAATTGCTTCTCAACATTATGAGGGATTCTTGGCAACTTAAACGAGTCTTTGTTGAAAGATGAAAGCCAATTACTTAACAAAACCGCATACAGCCACAAGACGGCCATGGGGCCTGTAGATTCCAGGTTAGTGTTCAAGTCCCAGTATTCTTCGCTACTCTGATAAAATATATGTTTGATCAGATGAATCAGTCAAAACAGGAGTTTTTGGATGTATCCCGAAACAATGTTAATCGAATGAAGCCACATCTAAATCGCGGGATAAATGCTGATTGCTCTTGCACAGAGGTCATGCCAGTCACATGCACTTACCGGCAAGTCACTCTTGAAAATGTTTAAATTGAGTAGTCACAAAGTTGACATTTTATTAGTATAATTAATTATTCATTGCTTGGAATCTTATCGAAGTGGAAACAAAACAGATCGTGAAATAAGGAACTTCTTAGAGACGTTTCTCACTGACTTTGATGTGACATTACCTTTTTTACACGAATTGCTGGAACCATTAGGACTTCTGGTAAGTTGGCCAAGAGGAATTATCCAGTCTGTTTACTTTTCTCTTTGGCTTTAAACATTACATAATTCAGTTAAAACAACCGCCGTAGGGTGGAGTGTACTAAAAGTTGTTGCATTCAGACAATCACAATTTAAAGCTATTTCAAAGGCTCATTCGTTCTCCTTTTCCTTTGAGCAGATTGAGTTTCTAAGCTAACTCGTGAAGGATCTAATCGTTGGACTTTTTATTGGATACCACAGTTGCTAACTTTACTTCGGAGACGTTTTGATGGTACCCTAAATTTGATATGTTTTCTGTTTCTTTCTGTAGTCGTCTCATCTGCAATGAAGGCAAATATCATCCTATTCACTGTGGGGATAATTTTATCTTTGTCCCAAACAACAGGTTTGAACTCCATCATGTGTAATGTAACCTGCTTTGTGTCAACAAGGCCCAGTGAAATATCAATACTATTTTAAATCAAAACAAACACAACTTCTCCTGTTTGAGAGAATATTATTGTAGTGCCAGAAAAGCATTATGAAATCCATTAGAGGGCGAAGAAATCTTTATTATGCCGAATGAACGAAGTAATAGCTCCTTCTAAAGTTCTTCGAAAGAACTAATCCGCTCAGCCCCTAAGCCAGAAAACATAGGTAATGGCACAGTATAACAAAATGGAACTGATAGAGCTTCCAATGTTAAGACCTAGTGTTGTAGAGGAGGATCATCAAACAAGAGTACTGGCATTGCAGTCTTGCTGTCTTGACTCGTCATTTCTTAACCATCCAAACGCTTGTTTTACTAGTTTTTCTGCTTCTCCCTTTTATTATCTGTCCTGACGAGCTACCTGCCTAAGATGCTAAATCCAGGGCGGTTGGAAAGTTTGAGTGAATTGCTTGTTTGTTTTGATTTCACTTCGATCTGAGCATATTTCCCCATGCATGTTTCCTTTGTTCTTTTATGGAAACAGAAGACCCATTGATACAATAACAATTGTTCTTCGTATTGAAGGGAAAAGAGTACCCAGAATGTAATGAAATGCTAATGAACACGTTATTGTACAAATGGAAAATGAGCATGAAACAATTTTAACTGAGTTTTGAAACTCAAAATCTTGTCGTTTCAGATACCACCCACCACGGAAAACATTTTTCAGTTCACCATCAACCAAAAGTTAACATTCCCCAAAAAGCCAAACACAGATTTCTCGAAATGAAAAAGCAGCCACTTGATGAGAAAACCGCTTATCGAAAGCAACTAAGATACCAGGAGGCCAATAGTGCTATGATAAAAACCAGGCTGGATGATAGCCTAGGAAGAATACCCTGGAGTAATAACCATGAAAACGTTGCATCCTATGTTGACGGAACAGGAGGTGTATCACAACAGAGGCTTTTAGCAATCATGAACCAGTTAACCAATGATATCAGAGTAAATGGACGGAGAATCACTCCTCTTCAAACGCAAATGGTACAGCAAACTAATGATGGCGACATCAATCCGACATCACCAGCGAGTAATATGCAGGACGAGATGCAACCCGATATGCAAACTAGCATGCAAGATGATATGCAGAGTAACACCAATGACATGGGAAATAATGAAGTTAAACCTATACAGATACCAATCAATCAGAAGGGAGGTGATGGTGCAACTGATGCCAATGGACCTGGTGATGGTGCTAATGGACCTGGGATGTTTGAGCGGTTGATGTTTGGCGGACTTTCCCAGATAGTAGGAGGAGGAAAAGGGAGTAACAGTTACTCTGAAACTGGTGGTGGAATGACCAACGTTCCTGGGTTATCATATGGTGGATCAAATAATAATGGTGTTATCAACCTTATGGAAAGCGAACATGGATTAAAGCCAATGCGGGGAATGAATGGCATGGGGAGCATAAATGGAATGAACGGGATGATGACTGGAATGCATGGGATGATGAACGGAATGGGTATGATGATGCCTGGAACGGGAAGAATGAGAGGCAATTCGTATTTCTCCAGAAGAGGAGAGACCGCGTCAGCGAGAAAGAAACCGCGATCAAAGCATCAGGAATTTCTTCGAAAGGCCGTGAAGGCAGCTTCGCTATCAAAAGCAGATGAAAGAAAAAACCTCCAAAGGATTCCCACAGTTACCATACACCCCAAGGCCAACATTCTGAAGAATAAGCCATACGTTATACCACTAATCCCTAATGATAAAACAACTGACAGGAAACCCACAAGACCTCTGCATGGTGCTTAAAAATTGTTTAGAAGAATTTCAATTACTGAAAGGAATGAGACAATTGAGATATATTTCATCGTATACATTGGCGGGTATTACCGATGAATTTCTTCAATTGAATGAAAAAAGCATCAATAAAATGTTTGGAACACTCCACACCATAACAGTTGTTAAAGTTCATCAAATTTTGTGACGCCTTAAACTTTAGCAAATATCGGAGAATGCGTTGATTCAGCCTACGCGCAATGTTCCCTTCTCTATAGTCCAGAAGAAAAACTATTTTGTTCGTGACCACTTGTACAGGCAATTTTTCAAGAGGGGAAAAGTCTTTTAAATTTTACAGATGGTATGACAGATTCACTTCTAAGTGGGAGGAGAGAAAGCTGTTGCATACCGAGGGGGAGAGGCTGAAGAATTTGAGAATGCTTTTAAAAGGAGGACTCGTTTGACTTAATTCTCATTCGAAAACCATAAAATTTTATTTGAAAGATGACATGATTTTAACAATTCCGCAAAAAAAATTTTGGGTGGGTATCCCCTATGAGAGGAAAACTCTTGTATGTTTTTCATATTTGGACGGTTATCTATCTCACTTTATAGTGGTAATCTCTCTTTGAAGTGAAGTTGTAAGAGAACTGCGATGGAGGAAATTTTCGATTGAATAAGGAGATGATGCATCCCATCGAAAAGGTCCTAACAACGTTGGAAGCCGTCAATTTTTTGCAGTTCATAATTTTTTCAGCCGTCAAAGATCACTTAAAAAATAATTCCCAACACGTTTTCTAATCCACCAAAGTTTCTTTAAAATTATGAAATACTTAAGGGCAAAATTGACCCCTTCCTTTATATTATGATATACCTGTAATGTATTGTTGGTTATTTCCCACAGCACCATTCCACCCTTGTATGTTAACACTTACCCTTGTTAAAGTCTTTTTAAAGATGTCATATGGTATAATAGGTTTTCTTTGTTCTTTTTGGTGACAGAGATATTGTAGCTTATTAAATATTTAGTTTGACATTGCGAACGAGGGAAGTTTTCCAAAATGGAGAATGAAGTCATTTCGCTAACATCTTGAATGGCAAGCGAGTCTTCTTTTTCAGTTTCGCTGACGTTTAAACGGTTGAAATGTCGAAAGGAAGATAATTTTATTTAAGCTTAAAACGGTTGTCCAGGCGTAACTGTGGGAAAAGGTAAGAAATCACCATTAACATTATTTAACACATAATCCTACCAGTGGTTCTTTTGTTAGATCTTCTTTACTGATTAGAAAAAAACAATAATTAACTTGGATTAAATCAATGCTAAGTCACTGAATAAAGTGTTAACATAGATAGCAATGCAGACTTAGTTTACGAGGAGTTCTTGATATGATACAGCGAAGCAGAGGGATCCGAAGTATCTCTGATTTGGTTGAGTAATTTTCGACCACTGAGCAGCAATATGACCGATCCTCAACCACTTTTGCTTGTTTGCTCGATCGATCTTGAAAAATTACCTTTAAAGTGGTCCTTAAAGAAACACCTGCTGAGAATTAACTTGGCCCCATTGCTGAACAGACATAAACTATGCACAGTTAGATTAATTGGCCGAAGATTATGTTAAATTACAATCACAAAACAGTTTTGAAACAATTTATATCAATAGCATGATCATCTCTTCGCGACATCCTCATTTCTCTTCTTTCCTAACAGCTCACGAATACTACGATGATACTTTAAATGAACGATGACAGGCTACAAATTTGGCTTCCTCCTAACTGCGTTATTATACTTTTTTGCTGGAGCCTCCATCACAACAGGTACCTTCTAAAAACCTAAAAACCCAGAACCTGTATGTTAAAATTTTCGCACAACTGCAAAATGTTTGCTCTATTATCTAAATGAATCAAGTCATGTCTTGGTTTAAGGTAAAAATGATAATTCAACAACAGCAGTGGCTCGACAGTTCATTCTTCCACCAAGGATCCATCAGATCAGTCCGTTTGCCGGCACCATATCAGCTACTGACCCCTCAGTTCTGGCCTTCCATGGGATTCCGGAGACAAGTTCTGAGATACCTTCACAGCAGATTGAGAATCAAATTGCACATTTGAACGAACTTACACAACAGCTTCGTGGTATGCCACAGTCTCCTTCCATTACACAAGTAGGCAAAGGCCTACCGATACCGCTTTCTAGGTATGCTGCACAGATAGAGAAAGGAGCGTCTGAAAATGGTGTTAGCCGTCCATTAGGAGTTGAGCCAAGCTATTTTAGAAATATAGCGGGAAACCCATTGACTGGACCCAATGGATTAACAAAAGAAGTCCTTTCAGATCTGATGTTTGGAAATCTTAAAAGCCTTGCATCGGTGGGAGGATTAACAACTGCTAATAGTCCTGCGGAAGACAATGGATTGTCGCCTCAAATGACTGGAAACTCTGAATTGAGTGGATTTAACAGTCCCTTGCTTGAAGAAAAGTTGGCAAAATCACAATCTGGAAAATCAGGCCTTGGTCTACCCCTCCCGCCAAATGAAAGTATGGATTTTAATGACCTACCGAACAGTGATCTCGACAATATAAACAAGACCCCATATCTCCAATCGAGACATCACGCCAAAAGCAAAAGGAAAAAGAAAGATAATAAGTCTGATGTTGTCACAAAATTGCTACTCTCTTTATTGGTTGATAAATTAAAAGACATATACGAAATTGATAAAATGAACAGCTCACAGCGTAAGACGTTGAAACTGGATTCGTCGACGGTAGGAAAAATCGAGAACACTCTGAAGGAACACGGCCATCCGTCTGACCACAACAAACTTAGTTCTGGAAAAGATGTAAATAAGGAGGCCAAAACAACTGAAAACTTCGAAACTAATCTCTCGTTCCCACTAACCTTCTCTGATACTAAAGGGACTCAGTTATCACTTGTAGATTCCCCGAAGAATGACAAAGATGACACTTCTTTACTTGATGTCGACACGAAAAACATCGAGAATATTATCAAAGGTATTGAAAATGGGGGTGAAAAGTCTAATGAAACTGAAAGCATCAGAATTGATTCGGGTAACAGTCCTCAAGAAATCTCCCAAAAGACAACTAAAACTCTTTCACCAGACATAAACCACCTTCAAACGGGATCTACGTCCGAGTTTCATCGTGTTAAAATGGAACCTATAGGTGAACTTGGAAAAACTGCGAACATACCGAGTATTTCTGATTATCACCCAACTTTAGAGGTTTCCGAGGCAAACCCTCCGTCTGAACAAATGTTTGAAGTACATACTGACAAAGCAACAATATCAACGTTACCTACGTTTTCCATCTCCAGTCTATTAAATCAGGAAATACCTGGAACTGTCAAAGGAAGTAACCGAGTCTTAAATGTGGTAAAGGAAAACGAGTCCGGGAGTCTTACTGGTTCTAACTCAGCAACAGTGCCTGTCACTACTACAGAAACTGAAGAACATAAAGGTATAACTACAAGTGCCAGTGAAAGTGACGCCGCTAATTACCTTGAGGCTTCTAGAGTTCTGGGTGCTGTTTTCAATAAAGTGAAGGATCCTCTGGCTAGGAAAAGCGTTGAAGTCGCTATCAAAGCAATGTTGAAATTAATGAAGTCAGAAAACAGCTATTCTAAAAAGGAATCAGTTCCATCGTCCAAAAGCTCGTCAATACTTCAGGAAAAAGTAAAAAAACTGATGAAAACTATCCATGAACTTTCTAAAATGGTTCATGTTGAAGATGATTCTCCGCATGGAAAGCACAAAAAGTACTCCCGTGTAAAGCATAAGCTTTTTCATAAGCGATTTTCACAGAAACGAACAATCCATCACAGGACACGGGTGGGAATGCACCATCTTAAGAGAAAACATCAATGGAATAATTAAGAGTTTTGTCACATTAATTATACCAACTCTAGGAAATAGAGTTAATAATCCGAATAACTGATACTATAATACAAGCAAATATGATATTTATAATAACAGTTTCGGTGACGTTTGAAATCTGATGTACTTAAGTCGAATGGAAGATAACTATATTGCGGGTCCCCAGACCAATAATTTTCTGGTTCTTTGCCACCTTAGTACTTCTTTTAGGATTCATTTGGACCTTAATAAAGATAACTTACCAAGCTAAACGAAACTCATGTTATAAGTAGCTCTGAAATTCGTTTACTCTTATTAAATTATAGAATTACGGGAAACCATTCTATCAAAGTACAGTTAGATGTGGAGGGTTGTGTTTCTTTGAATTTGGTTTGAGTACTAAATTGTAAAGAGGCATAGTTTTCTCATTTACGAGTTATCAGGCTTCTCACCTGGGAGCAGATCGGCAAAAACCTAGCTCTAACGGCTATCATAAATCATGATTGTTCCTTGATTCCAGCTGTCACTCACTACACAGAAGCATTTAGGATTGTTGGTTAGGATTGTAGAGGTAAGAACGAGAAATGGAAAACCTCAAAAAACCTGGCCGGTTAGCTCTGGCATATCCTACGATCAAATGTTCGTTTTACGGCGGAGCACAATAGAAGAAGGCAGAGAGGGAGAAGAAAAAGAAAGACGTGTAGAACCGCGAGGGTTGACGGTTGAGCCCCACCCGCCAACTATTGCGCTGCTACAGTATTGTGTCTCTATGCATATGATATAGTCAAAGTTTCGGTCAACAGCCGAATTCTTTAGTTTTGGTTGCACTGTTACAATTTAAGCCACCATCTTTTACATAACAACCACACACCCTGCCCACAAACGAAAAGGAAAAATAAGGTTGTAAGATGTGACTTAAGTTAACAATTAGTAACGTTAGGATTAAATAATGTCGCGTTCTGGGGAAAAAAGGTTTCTTCCTTCAAATGCACCTCTTCCCTAGCGGTATAAGTGATTTAAGGAAACCGTCAGGGAAAGACAATGCATTGCTGCGAGGCAACGGCCTAACGACGATAATGAACAGAAACATTCCTTCAACGTAGCCTCCCCGTAGGTGGGGATAAAACTAGTCTAAACAACCCCTCTAGTTGACTAAAATTTTACTAAACAATTTTTGATTAAATTTCAGACAAATCAATATGTTACTGTATATCTACCATACGAATAAGGAAAAAGGAAGAAAGCTCATTCTCCTTTCGTGTTTTCGCTTCGCTTCATCTTTATTACAGAAACCGATGAAGCAGGTTGCTCATCGAAGCGTCTAGTATGCAATTTCAATGTTTTGCTTGAGTTGATACCAACTTGAGCCAAACTTATTACTTAGAAGCGCCAATGAGGGAAAATCTTTTTTCTTAACATATTCTCATAGATGTTGGTCTCTCGAGAAAGATGATAATTTTAACGCTGAATGCTCTGTTTTACCGTCTAGTAAGTTTCTTTTGAGTAAAACTCGAGCTCAAAGGAAGAGATTTCACCAGAATGGTCTGCTTTAATCGATGATACTCTGGATACAGAAAGAAAACAAATATCAGACAAATATTTAGCAACACTGAAAAGTGGAAATGACAGTTTCTAACCTCGTGAAGTAAAACCAGTGGTAGATAAGGAACTGAGCCTAATTCATGCATAAGTAATGCAGTATATCTTACATCATTTTGGTTGAGAGGGAAAAACCATCATTATTTCACGACAATAGACATTAAGATAGTTATAATCATCATGATTTGTCCTTTTGACGCTGTTTAGAATTTCTCGGAAGGATCTCTGATGTGAGGGAAGTGGATAACATGTAGTAGGGTGTTTCACTATTCCCTGGATCGAAATTAAGGTAATATCTCCCGGATGACATTTTCGGTAGATCGTAGAATATTTTTTAAGAAAGAGCCCGGCGTAATGCATTTTTCGTTAAAAAATTCACGACTTCTCCATTGAACTTATCCGTAACATTTAATGAAATAGTAGGTTTCCTTTGCTATTTAAACGAAACTTTATAATCTTAATCACCTTTTTGGACAAATATAACGGTAAACTTTTCCTGATTGACCGAACGTATCAACGAGATATATTGTAGAGCTCCTTTAACTACTTCTGTTAATAAACAAAACAACAATTGCTAATTTGCATTTCATTTTATTTTTGCAGTCAACTATTACGATGAGGGTGATTTTGACAGCGGTCGTTTTGATTGGGGTTTATTGTGAGCTTTCAAATGGTAATATTCTGCTGTTTGTCTGTGCTATCTTGCAAGTAATGATAATACTTAAACGTACATTAATGCAAGTTAATCACTGTTACTTTGCAGGACTTCATAAGGATAAGAAAGAAAAGGGAGACAAGCTCGTTAGTTTTTTTCGGGACAACAATGGGAGTGTACTTTTGCAGGAAAGTTCTGATGCAAACAGAGATGGGGGGAGACTCAACATGTCACATGTGATTAACTCCACAAAAGAGGGAAAATCTGAGGGCAGGAAATTGTCAACAACCAAGAGCCTCACGGGAGAGGAGGAAACTAAGCAAGGATACAATAATCATTTGCTAGTTATAAAAAAAGTTGTCGGAAAGAAGGAAAATAAAACTGGAAATGAGATTAATGACACCAGCTCTAAGCCTAAAGAACAAAAAACCCATTATTATGACAGTAGCCAAGATAAAAAGAAACAAAAAGCTAAATTTCGCCAGCTTCTATGTGCGCTTTTTAATGTTTCAAATGAAAGTGAGGCTTGTAAAAACAAGCACCATTCTAAGAAGGCAATGATATGGCCAACGAGAATGATACCGTGGTTAAAGAGAGTACTTCTGAGTAAGCTGAGTCGAGGATCATACAATCAAATGCCATTTCTAGATGACACGAACAGTCCTAGCGAGTCATTTTTTGGAGGAGGTATTCAGAATGGCTTATCCGACAACTGGGATAATGATCCACTTCTGAATATACGTAGGAAGCAACATCATGGTTTGAAAATGGTTCCCTTGCTGAAGTCGTTAAAGGCAAAGCTGTATGGCCATGGAACGCCTGGTAATTTTGGTAGCCTCAACGAGGCATTGAATGGTGAAGGACTTAATGGATTTGGCCCAATGCCAACCCAAGGCAGCTCGAAGCTGATTCATCAAATACTTGGCCAGGCTATTGGAAGTTCCGACAGGAATTCTGTTTTAAACGAGATGATGCAAGAGTTTCTTCTTGCCAACAACCGGGAAGAGACGGAAGGCAATGAAGCATTTTCAGACTTGGCCGATAGAAATAGCTTCTCGCAACTTAACAACGGTCTTCAGAGCTCTTCACTTCTTCCAGAGCCCAGCTTACAGCTACAAGGCAACATGAGAACACCTTTGGCGTCGGAGCAACCTATTCATGCCCAAATGTTGGACAATGGTGCTCTTGCACCGATGTCCAATCAACCAATTGGTAATTCTCCTTTGAAAGGTGCATCTTTCCTAGGAGGTCGTTCTCCTATAGGAAGATCTCCTATGGTTGGAAACCACTTGACATTTCCCTCGATGATCAGGCCACTGGGCCCTCCAACATCAAGAAGTTCTGAATTTCAGAGTTCTGTGTTGGAAGCTCCTCAGAGAGAAGGTTCTCTCCTTCAAAGAGCCGGTGGATTCGACACTCCAATATCGTCTTCAGTGCTACAACGCACTTCAAACCCCACTCAGCGTATGTATATGGAAAATGAAAGGGAAGAGCAAGGTATTTCTAGTCAGGGAGATGATTTTGTAGAACGGAATGAAGCCAATGAAAGGCATTTACCATTGCGTCAATCAGTGGGTAATAATTTGGTAATGGAAGAAATAAGCGACAATCAGGCGAGAGGAGGAAATCTTCCAATGCAAACAAACCCAGATTTAGATCGTATGTTGAAGCTTCAATCTACTTTTAGGTCACCAGAAAGTTCTTCCATGTCAAGGGTTGCTCGACTTGAACTCGATTCAAATCTTGAACATGGGTTACAGCTACCGGTTGGCTCCATGGGTATGCCCTCTATCTTATCTAAGGACGAAGATTCCATAAACTTTAACGATTTAAATAATGATCGATCCCTTGCATTTAGAAGAGGAAAAGTTTTAAAAGGAGGGAAAAATTTGGTTCCCTCATCAAAGAAAGCGCAAATGTCACAAAACAATAAACCTAATATCAAGAAGAGCAGGGGATAAAAGCGGCATCCACTCCGCTAATTAATTTCCTCTGGTGCATGACTGTTCAGCTGGTAAAAGCATTCGATCATGAACCTTCATTTGGAGCTTGCTTTTTTTCAAAATAAGAGAATCTAACAGTGAGCAGGAAACCAAGCTAGAGTCTCTGCTAAAAATAAGAGTTTAGTCGACGAGGGTCAGGTTATTTGAGAGCCTAGGAGTATTACGGGTGGTATAGGTCTGACTGTAAATTGATAGCACGGCACGTAAACAAGTACTGTCAAAATCTTTCAAAAAGCGGGCAGACATCATTCATGAACTGATCAGTAAGGAGGTGTATACATGTTATACAAACCTTGAAGAAATTGAACAATACGTAATGAAAATATCGGCAAACCACATTAGCCAAAAACAAATAGGAAAAATAATATTGTATCATATGGGCAACTGTCAGTTATCTTGCTATTTTCTATCAGTTATGGATTGAAAAAATAAAGATAAAAAGTATATCTGTGGTTATTGTCTGTATTTGCGAATATTAATATATGATTGAATAAAACAAAAGAACATTTTCCTTGACCTTGCGCAAAATTGGAAAATGTGAGTTGTAAAGGATTGCCTCATGATCATCATCATTTTCATTTATGATGACCTTCCTTAATCACATCAAGAATACTTTTCTATAGTGTACAAAAGAGTTATGACGTGCCCCTTTTCCACTTAATAGACAAAAAGATATCCCTTAATGATCATACTTATGTTAAAAAATTTCTTTTCATGAGGATTTCCTTTCGGAAACTTTCAAGAATAAGTTATTTGTAAGGGTTCAGCAAAATAACTTTGCAGCCTAACAAAGATCGTTGCTTTTCCTTGTTATTCATTTTCAACATTTAACTACAAAACTTGATCTAGTGAAATTTTTCAGGGATGACCTCTCAGTAAGGTGATGTTGTGTTATAGGGAATGTTTTCCTCTTATTTTCAAAGGGGTGGGCTCTGGACAGGGCAGTTCGGACTTGCCTTGAGGAGAGGGCATTACTGTTTCTTCGTGGGCCAGTTACAAACAAAAGCATTATGGCGCTCTGGAAGGGGTTCAAGACTGCAAGGTAGTTTAGGAAACTGGAACTTGCGCTTGTAGTCTTTCGTGATCAATGAGAAATAAAATTTTTCTCCATCCTTTTTTGAGGATAGCACATACCTTTAAGCTTCACACTTTAAAACACATTAAAAGGCAACAGCCACTGTCTCTGTTGCTGCAATGCCTCTGAGGCATGGTTCATTCTTGGGTATCATAAGGTTGACAAACAATGCTAGTTGCTACCTGTATTTTCTTCCTATCTCGGAGAAATGCTATATTTGAAGGTCATTTTTATCATTTGGCAAATGGAGATATGATCACTATTGAGCCACTTTAAGGTCTGACTTTTGTTTAAGTTTATATCCTCTTTGTCCGGATGGCAAGAGCGATGACAATCTAAAACACGTAGTTAGTCATCGGCTGGTACCTGTCATATTCGCCAGGATAAAAAAGACTTAATTGTGTTAATTTTACTATTTTTAACATTGCAGTTTTCTTTTCATTCACACATCCCACTCCCTACGATATTCGACCATTGTGTCTGGGCATTCAATTAAATGGCTTGCCTTTTTCCTTTATTTATCTTGGTCGATAATCGCTCTGAAGAGCTAATATCGTTGTTTACTATTCAACCAATAAATTATAACTGCAAATGCAGTCCTAAACTAAGAGAATATCCATAGTTTTTTCTGGAATCGAAGGCGTCGGATTAAAGTCAGTGCCCTTTCTTGCCTGTTCAAAACACATGCAGTCTCCCGGGTCGAACCTCTTCAAACTGGATAGTTAATAGCAAAACACCAGCCAGTAAGATCATGTATTGCAGGGAAAAATCACTGATCCTCAAAAGAAATAAATATTTATCACTTCATTCCCTTTACATGTTTAGATCATGGAAATAGAATGCATTTCACATCGCAAAAACTAGGACTGAGAATCTCGAGAAAGATTCGTTCCTTTAGACAAACAATTGAGCCCATTCATGGCATCAAAATGAGGTAAGATAAGAAGAGAACGCCTTTTAAAAGTAATGACTAGAAATACTCTTCAGTTACTCCAAGTTTTTAGGTCAGGATTCTGACATTTTCGGGTACTTAGAACATCGTTTACTGTAAGATGGGGTAACAATGAAAGCCTTATGGTTTTTTTCATGATTGCCCAAATGTGATAATAATTAAACAGCAATCGCGGTGAAGACACAACAAGATCACACAGTTTCCCGTAGTTTAGTTTTTCTCTGTGAGCCAATTATAGCAAGGTCTGACGGAACAATGTGACACATGTTTGACGCTGTTCTTAAAGCAGGTGGCAGACGAATTTTGAATTACTGTGATCCAAAGCCGAGTCCAACCATCTCCTATAGAATCCATATCTTTCATAGTTATTTGTAGTCTGGAGTCTGTTGCTTATCTGTCTGACTTTATTTTTTTCTCTCAAGAGTGAGACAAAGGCTTGCGGTGAGCCTGTTTGTTTTTGTTTTCCTGAAGGGATTCCTGTTGGCCTCAGCAGGTAAATTTATGTATTGTCTATCATTAGTCTCATTTTTTGAATGAACTGTCGGTAAAATGATTAAACGTATATCAGAATTGTAACACCTCTATGAGTTTAAAGGACTTCATTCAATGTCAAGCAGTCCTCGTCAAAATAGCCTGTTGCAATCCTTTTAAGTCAAGTTTACTCCAAAAGAAATTCACATCAACACGCATAGTCGATCATGCAACAATTGACCTCGAATTATGCAACTTCAATTTTTTGCATTCCGCACAATGGTTTATCATAAAAGTTTGGTAACTCAGGGACCACTAAAAATTTAAAGTTATCTTTTTTTAAAAAACCTTCAGATGACAAGCAACCGATACCTTCCTTTTCGTCTGCTAACAATGAATTGCAAAGAAGAGATGTCTCCACTGCCTTAAAAAAAAGTGAGAAACCGAAACAAGGAAGGAAGATCCATCCCTATGTAGGAGGGCATACCCACGATAAAAGAGGATTAACAAAAAGATGGCTCCCTTTTGAGCAGAAAGCGAGAAAGCTCTCGGTCGTTGCCACGAGTAGTTTGGTGGAGGAGAACACGACAAACAAAAAGGAAAACAATACACGAAACAATGAGCATTCCAGAAACGCATCAAGTACTACCACATCTTCTCAAGCAACACACCAGACTGCTGATTATGGAATTTTGGGAATTTCTGAAGACGAGGATAGTGCGAAGTGGGCACTAGACGAAATGAGAAAAGTAGCTGAAAACAAAACGAATAGCCATGATAAGGAAATCAAACAAAATGTTTCAACTGTGGCAAGCACATTAAGAATAATCTCATCTAAAAATCAGTCACAGTATGTCAACCGTCCCGTTAAGATTATACTTATCAATTCAGGAGGAAATATGTCAAATGCCTTGACCCAGACGAAGAACTTGAATAAGAGTAACAGGAATCAAGATAATGCAAATCTGTTCAAAAATTTAAAACCAGATAAAGCGGATGCGGAGCCAATTTCCATGAAGGTGAATACGTCTTCATCAAAGTTGGAAAAGACGGGTAAAGACACAGTTGGGGTTTATAAAATAAAATCACCGCTTATAGTAATTCCCGAAAGCATACTGCAACAAGCGGATCCAGACTTCAAACAAAATAAAACGGCAAGTAGTTCCTCACCACCGTCATCCACAGCTCAAAAAATTAAAACAAGTACACATAATGACACAACTTTCATCAAAACAGTGCTGCGAAAAGACTCTGGGGCGAATCAGACTAAAGCATTAGACAATACAACGACAAATTTAACTGGACCTCAAAAAGTTAAAGGAAAGATACAAAACGTCTCGGTTTCAGAAACAGTACTACATCTCTCTGAACTCGGATCTAAGGAAAATAACACCTCAGGTAATGCGACACCCATGGAGGAGCAAAATAGTCGACCACCAAGTCTTAGCGGCATGGAGCCAGTCGGTTCATCGCAAAAATCAAATCAGTCACAAAACAATGAAGAGCTTGCGTTATATCCAAAAGCACCTTCACTTGAAGTGAATATCTCAAGCTTAAGAAAAGGACAGTCCTTCGACTTTCAGATTCCCAGCACGATACCATTAAAGAGCTCTGATCAGAGTAATCATATTCACATTGAGCCAGATGATACACTGAATTCGTCTGAATATTTACCAAAAGACATAGAAAGTAACTCAAGCAACAGCAACTTTTTGAATGACACTCTTAATAAGGTCTTGCTGGAAGAGCTAGTACGAACAGAGAAATCTAACAAGCTTCTGCAAAAGTTCAATTCAGATATCCTAGCTTCCAAGGCGAAACTATTATTCGACAAAGTTAACTTGGGAAGCGAGGTCAATGATCAAACATTTCGAGAGGAATCATCAGCTGATCGAACTTTCTCGGAAAATATCTTGGAACCTTACTCAAACGAAGCTTTATTAACCCGAAGGCTCAATAACTTACAGGGGAGACAAAGACAGACGGAAGTTCAACAAGACGAAAGTTTAGCGAAAGCACTGAATTCTTCTTCAGTCTCTTCGATCATTTTTAGTGCAAACCGGGCTCTTTTTGATACTGATCAAGAAGTTTTCTCGAAGAAGAGCTCCCAGGGTAGACTAAAAGGAGCAAAAAGAGATAAGGACCACAGACACAAGCGGAGTTATTTTTGGCACCGTCTAACCAAGCATCAAGGTACCAACAGATTGGGTTCAAACGCAGATTATCTTAGAGGAAACCCCGCGTCAAGAAGAAATAAAAAGCAACGTAAGGCAACTGCACGGCAGGTTATCAATCTTGGGAACCATTTTCTATGGTTTGGTGGTCAGAGTTCGGCTGATGCAAACGGTTTTCCTCGCCACAACACAGCAACAGAAAACAATGCATATAGTGTCAATAATTATATTTCAAACTTTCTTAGTTCAGCCAAAGACAAGAAGGCACCTAGCGCAACCAAAGGCTATAGGGCCTTACAGAGTGCTCTGACATCTATGGAGTCCAACCAAGATAGTCAGGCGGACACTTACAATTTGGACTCAATGTACACAGAGCCTGTTGAAAAACAATGGGAAGCCTCAGATAGTCAAAAAGCCACAGCGAATGAGTTTATTCAGGATGGTACTGGAAAAGCAGTATACCAAAGTATGGTCGATAAATCGAATGAAACAAAAACTCAAGTAAGCTCAAACTCAGTATCGGATATGCAAAGCAACAACGAGTTCATTGATCACGGGGCCCCGATAAAAGAGAATAGAACTAATCGTGAACACACAGAACCCGAATTCGCACAACAGATCAATGAAAACAGCACTTCTGCAATTAATAACACGTCCAGGCTGATCAATTCCGATCAAAAGAGTGTAAATGAAGGAAATATAACCATCCTCCAAAATCTAACAGATTCCACGGGTCATTTGGGCGAAACAAATTCCGCTGCGCCTGGTGGAGGTATCCAACTTTCAGAGCAAAGTATGACTACTGTCCAGTCTAAGATGAGGGATTCCCCTAAACTACCAAATGTGACGGCTGATTCAGAAAAAGCAATCAAACAACAGCCGTCTGCTATAATAAAGAAGATAAGTACGAACTCTCAGGAACCGGAGACATATCATGTTATAGTAAATGATGCAGGTAAAAAGATCACAAACGCAAATGGTCATGTCACAGTCATCATTTCAGGCCCAACTGCAACTCAGGCCTCCATGCCTGATGAAAACACTTTGCTAATACCACAAACTAGCCCATCTCAGTTTTTACGAGAAAATGACTTTTTACCTACCAATGATCGGGAACGTCTTAACATCAGTCATTCGGCCATTCACGCCGTGAATAAAACCTCCGTTGATGAAAACAAAGGGAACGGAACACGTGCTAACAAACAGATAGCGCCCTTGTCACTTCTTCAAGAAGACATTGCACCTGCCTTAAAAATATCTGAAGAGATAGAAGAACATCTAAAACACTCCTCAGCTGATAGTGCATTAAGTACATCTCAGAAAGAAGAGAATGAGCTTCCGAAACAAACCACTGATGCCCATGTCCTAATGGATGAAAAAGATAATTTTACTTCCAATAACCGAGAGGAATCCACGCATAATGGTCATCATTTTTTTAAGGTTGGACAGGACCTAACTAGTAATATTGGTGACCTTCAAATGGAAGAGGTTTCCCGTCCAGACCTACAAGAAGCACAACAAAAGGTGCAAGAGAAGCTTGCGGAAGATTCTGCCGGAGGATTCCTATTAGGAGGGGATCAGTTTGCGGCAGAGCAAGCCCAAGACGTACCTACCTTGAATATCGTATTAAATCCAATGCAACGAATTGACGGATCTCTTTCAGTCGGTGGAAAGGTAATACCAATTGGCTCAGCCAAAGAGGGATACTCAAAGGAAATTTTAGGTGCAAATGAGCAAGGAAAACAAAAGCTAGATTGTCATGCTGATACAAAAAATGAGAAGGCTGGAAGAACAATGTTGACATGTCAAAAAAAGCATGATCTTGCTAATTTTCTTCCAGCCTTTCAAGGTATTGATTATTCTGGAAACTTAAAAGCGGCGGGTAGCCCCGGTTTGCAGCTGGATCAGGTGATGAATGTCTTAAACGATCAAGTAAAAACAACTATTAACAAGGAAATGAAAACAGAAAGCAAAGATATCGAGGATGTGCTAAAAGATATGACAATGCCGAGCAGTACTCTGATGGATACTGAAGAAGCTTATTCTCAAGAGGAACCTCCTGAACATTCCTCCTTGATGGACACAGACGAGACGTTTACCTCTCACCCAGGTTTTGTGAGACAAACTTCATGGAAAAATAATCGTCATTACCACCAAAAAATTCAACCATTCGGTTTCTTTCATGGATTTGGTTTATCTCATCATCTCGGATTTCGCCATCATCTTGGAATTCCCAACAGGCGCCACTTCTGGGGATACAACCGCCATCCACACCCTTTTGTGGTAATGGCCCATAAAGACAGCGATGAAGGCTTCTGGGATTACCAGCACAATATCTTCATTCCACGTGGCTTTAGCCATTTTAGCCATGATGACGACGATGACGATGACGACGATGAAGGAGTAGAAGTAAAGAAAGCAAAACATTGGGTTCCATGGTCTCGACATGGTCACAGGAGAGGAACCTGGTTAATGGCTCATCCACCTTTTCATCCTCGTCACCACACTTTCCCACCATTCAGTATGCCTGTCAGGGAGCAAAATTTGGCTCATTTTCGCTTGCCAACTATTTTCAGTCGATCAGGTCCTTGGCGGCCTTTGCATTCACGTATGACAGTCCCTCAATCCCAAAAAGAAGAGAAAGGCTCGAAAAGAACAGCTGTGGTGCACAAGACAATAAGAGGCGATAGAGACTTGTGCAGACCAATCATCGGGGGGCCTTCGCCACCACTGAAAGGCGAATGGGAGTACTTAGGAAAGGTTCTTTCTAGTTGTCCTTGTAGGTTGATGGACACAGAGTGGTGAAAATATATGCTTAATGCATTGTTGTTTTATTGTGTACGGCACAGCATAGAACAATAAGTCCACTGGAGTTTCTTTCAAGTTTACTAATGATATCAGATGATTTATTTGTTAAGCCATTTTTCTTAGGCATCTTTTGAGGGAATTAACTTCAGGGTTACCTTACTATTTGTTGTCACGCTGGTTATATATTTGAGCGAGACCTTTTTGACATGCAAGACTCACATAAATTTATCTTGCACGCACCGATGTGAATCATATTGACTTATGAAACCACGTAGTCAGTTTTAACATCAAAGATGAGTGATTTCCCCCCTTAAAAAAAGAAAACATATCTTATTATCTCATCAACTATTTACAGATTTTTAGCATAGATGCAATAACTAAATTGACGAGGCTGTTACCAACAGCAAACAAATATTTACGAAATCCATGCTATGATGTTCAATACCCTTACCGCTAGAACTATTAAAGAACTCTAGGTTACTTGAGTGCGTAGTCAAAACTATAACGAAAGTTTCGAACGTGATTGGTTGTCACCAGCCCGATTCGCGCACTAGTAGGACAGTGTGCGCGTCATGCTTGTAATTGAACAGTGTAGTTGGACAGTGAACGCGTATGTATGTATTGTACAATATCCATTGTGTGTGCTGAAATTAATTGTTGACAGGACTTTGTGTCGTATAATTCTGTCTATAATTATACTCGTAATTAACAAATTACACTCCCACTTCGCGGCGGTCAAATTTTTTTTATGACTCGTATGGTTACAGACCGAACTGAACACTACTCAGTCCTGTTAGATCAATACTTATACAATGTGTCAATTATATCGCACACTGCTTTCCTTCCTTCTTTCCCCTCTTTTCTTATTTTGATTGGCGGAGGGCGTACAAAGGAAATTTGCTATTACAGGACTTGGTAACACACGAAAAAAAAAATCTCCTTAGAAACGACTCTAAGAAAAGTTACGAGTGTACGTCATGATCAGCAGTACGTCATAATCCAAAGTCGCACGAAGAATTTTCTGAATCATCGGCACCAGGCAATGTATTGAATTTTATAATGCTTATCGCATCCACCATGTCTATCATGTCATCTACCATACATATCTACCATATCGTTACACTGTTTGCATGTCATTTATGGAAGACATTCGCACTTATTTTTAAATCTTGAGTTCAATCTAATGAATTGTGAGCCTCATTAGTCCAGAACCATTTATAAACGCAGTTTCCCAATAAAGTATATCCTTAACCAAGTCAAGGAAGTGCATAATGCATCACTTACACTTAAAATACCAGGATAAATACCTATTGTGCTTATTCCATGGTCGCAAAAATGTTTACCAAACGTATGGGGGATGCTTGTTTCATGAATCAACTTTAATAAGCTAGCTACTTGTGCGAAGGTTCTATTCAGATCAGAATTAGACTACCAAAGCTTGAATATGAGGCAACCAATATGTCCGCGTGTAACGGAAATGATCTTTGCAATTCCAATGGTGTGCTTAGAAGCAGCGTTCGACTAAAGTCCGAGTACCATTGGGGAATTGTCGATAATGACAATTCTTCGCCTTAAGGGGCTTTGTGAGGAAACTGGTGGATTCTGGCACAAACTACAGGGGATCGATAAGTGCCCTCTAGGTGGCTCGCCGTCCACTTTCTCCGGTCCTTAAGAGATTTAGGGAGTTATTTCCATAATTTTTCAGGGTTACACCGTTTGGTTGTTTTGGAATCGAAAGCTTGCCCGTAAGTGATAAAATCCAAAACGAATAGTGATCCTAACACTCTACGAAGGGCGCTCAAGTGAGCAAGATATTATTCTAGCCCTTTCTGGATTCTCGTTACGTTAGCAGTTATTTACTTGGGTTAACGTTACTTCCGAAATATTCCAAAACTTAATTGCCGGAATTTCATCTCCTGATGTGAACAACAGTTAATCTTGCCAAGAAGGTACAAGGCTATCAAATCAATCTACAAGGTCGTTCTTCGTTTTTGAATTTGTACGTCGAAGGGTACACTGTGTGAAGTTGTTTCAGTCAGCTGCAAAGGTAAGAGCTTTGTAAAACTAATTGCAGGGCACAAAAAACAAACAAACATACACACGTACGCGGTTAAGTGGTTACTGAACAATTTAACTCATGAGCGAAACCATTTTAGTTGTACTAATCATAATCTTTTATTACGAAACTTTCATCACATTATTTCTGCATATTTCTATTTATAGATGAAAAGTAATAAATTAGACTATATACAGTAAAATGAAAGATATCTAGAAATAAAAATATATACAAAAACTATATCAAGAGTAGATAAAAATCTGCAATTGAAACACAAGAAGAATTAAGTAGAAAAGCTACTAAAAATGCTACGCTAAAAATTCACAATGTCAGGTGTATTTCTAATAGCTTCATCTGGGCTGTTCCAATTCTTCAGAGAGTGATAACACGCTCTCTGTTTATCCTAGTTTTTGGTTGCAAGGGGTAGTCTAAGCATGTCTCTATTTCTTGTGTTATAATTATGAACGTCTCTGTTTGCTAGTAGCTCCACTGAGTGATCCATAAGGCCATTAATACGTGTTTAAACATATAAACAGCAATGATAAAATCTACGTTGTTCTAGGTTGAGCCACTTTAAAGTTACGAAGGCATCAGTAGCTGACGATTAAAGTGGCATGTTTAGGAAAATTTTCACGGCCTTGTTCTGCAGAATCTGCAGGTCATTCATAAGAGACACATTGCTTTTGCCATCCCAAACTTAATTAGCGTAATCAAAAACTGGTAAAATGAGACTGTTATAGAATAGGGTGCGAGCGTTTAAGGTTAAGAGATGTTTGATCCTGTGTAAAAGACCGAGCCGTTGATTAACTTTAGTAATTACATACTCTACATGATCTGACTATGTGAGGACTGAGGCCAACAAAACCCCTCAATATTTAAACCTAATTACGCGATCTAACCCACATTCAAAAATAGACAGAGACAATGAGGAAATATTAAACAATTTTCTATTTCTTCCGATCCACATGGATTTGGTTTTAGAAAGGTTAAAAGTGAGTCTATTCGCTTTTATCCACAATGCTACGTTGTAGAGATTTGCGTTCGACTTGCTCTCCAGCTCGCGGGGTTCTTTTGCGAAGCAGTAAAGAACCGTATCGTCAGCGTACAATGATATCTCAGAGTGTTGAATAGTAGCAGGTAGCTCGTTGACATACACAAGGAAAAATAAGGGTCCCAAGATGCTTCCTTATGGAACCCCGAAAGTAACGGGAAGGGCTTCGGGTAATTCACTATTACAAGAGGTTTGCTGATTCCGTTTACTCAGATACGAAGAAAACCACTCCAACGACCGGGGGAGACTCCAACTGATGACAATTTGGACATCAAGATCCGATGATCAACTGTATCGAACGCCTTTGTAAGCAGAAATACAGCACCATGAATCTTCCCTTTTTCTATGCTTAATAAGACTTCATCGGCAAAGCCAGACAATGCAGTAGCGGTTGAACGTTTATAAAAAAACCAAACTGCTTGTTTGAAAGTAAATTATTTGAATTAAGGTATTCGTACAGCTGGGTGTGGATTACCCTTTCTTAGATCTTGCTGAGAGTGGTTAGAATTGAAACCGGGCAATAATTTGTTTTATTTGTTCGGTCTTCTGATTTGAATAAAGATGTCACCTTAGAGCACTTCCATATCCCCGGAAACTTCCTTGTGCGTATGGACAGATTTATTAACTTCGTGATGGAATAAGTAATTGACTGGGCGCTTCGTATACACTTCAAAAGCCTTGCGCTTATATTTTCCAATCCAATTGCTTTATTTGCCTGGAGACCGAGTAACTGCTTATGAACAACCGCTTCGTTTTAAAGTTTTTCTCTGTTCCGTTTTAAAGTTTTCCTCCGCGATATTTGTTGGTTCTGTTTAGAACCATACGATCGCACAGTGTTGGTACCCACCGTCCTTTCTCTACTAATCTACGAAATGCTTATTAGGTGCTAAATACTGTTAATTTACAAAACTGCAGGTAAAGCTACATGGAACATTTGCAAAGAGGCCTCATGACCATGGCAGCCTACAGCGGTTGGTAATTCGGGCATGGTGACCTTTCGTTCAACCGAGGCCCACATTACATCATCTCATTGTGTCTCACTGAGATCGAACATGGCCAACATAACGGGCGAAAAAAGGATTTACTGATGAGCCGGCGAATGTCGTCACCTCGGGTAAGGACAGTGCAAGCTATTGACCTAAATTTCTCTTTCACCTACTGGTTGGTGATAACGGTAAATTACAGGCAGAGCACGACACACCGAACGGCTTACTGTTTTATTTGTTTTAAACAAATGAAGCAAGAGAATGCTTTGCTAGTTAATTATATAATTTTAGGATGATGTGACTTTTAGCAAGAAGATATCAATAGCTCTGATTTTTCTTTAGCAATAAATTCCACTGTTTTGTTTCGCAACATCCAAAGACACATGAGAAATATTTTTAAAAAATACCCTAGAGAGAGATAATAATATCGTAGTCGACGTCCGCAGAGACAAATAACTATATCTTAATTTAAAAAAAAAGGCGAGATAAAGCCATATTTCCTTGACGCACCTAGCCCAGGACCCTTAATAGGAAGAAATTCTGTTTTATCGCAATGAAAATGAATTCGGACAATCCAATAGAGGAGAATGGAACAGGTTAAAGTTTACAGTGGAGCGATTCTTGTGTCAAACACCTGCCAATTCCACACATGGATAGCTTCGAATGTCGAGGTTATTTTCAGGTCAAAGTCATTTTTACCGTTTCTCTTGACATTGATTAACGCCAAAACTTCTCCCTTGAGTAATTGTCTTGAAATACGTTTTCTGTTTTGTCTTGTGCAGTCTTAACCTTTGATGGACAATACACACAAATGTAACCAAAGGCTATAAGAGTAAACACCGACATGGAAACATTGTCACTCATTCTTGTGATTTTTCTACCACAAATGTGTGCTTCCCATTCAGGTAAGAGTCGAAGTGTTTATTTTTTGACCAAAGTGTAGGATTTCATATCAAAGCCTTAATTCAATAACTATAAATTGCGAAACGAAACAGGCTGTTTATCCTTAATTTGTATAATTAGTCGCTGGTAAAAATAAATGCTTGTTTTTCGCAACTCGAACTGGTTCACTGAATCATATCTTAGTCTGCTGTTTTATGTGTTCTCGTAATTGTCCTATTTAAATGCAAACAATAAAAAAACTTCTCCAAAACTACGGCTATACAATCATGTATGCAGAGAAAAAAATTAAGTTAAAGGAAGTTCAAGCAAAATTCGTCTATCGCCCATGAATACGTTTTTTTCCCAATTAGTTTTGGTTGAGAACAATGATATCAGTGCTTCGGATTATAGCAGTGAAAGCATAGTTGATTAAACTTTGTTATTTTTTACAAGGCCATGCTAAGACCAAACAAAGCGATAGAAAAAGAAACTTCCTGGCAGACGCTATGCGTGAGATGGAATCTGGCGGAAAAACTTCGAATCATGCATCTTCTGTAAGAAGGGTTCCAAACGTCATCAGGGTGGTAATGAGGCCAGAAGTTCCACCAAGTCGCCGCCGCCATCACCGACATCGACACGGACAATTTGATGGCCTGAAGTCCGTTTTGAGATTAGCTGAGGGGATAAACAAACTGTCCAATCAGCAAAATGAAAACCACAAAAATAAGTCAACTGAGATACTTAATGCTGAGAATACAATACAGGACAGAGTGCGATTGCTTGAAAGAGTCAATGAACAGCTGGATAAAACTTCAAAATTGCACGATCATAAACAAAAGCTTAAAAAAGTCGACACACGAGGTAACATTACTCTAAAAGGTGACGAAGAAGTCATGGTGACGGATTCTTTTCCATTATTTCCGGAATTGAGGAGCATTGTTGAGCATGGAAAGCCATTCAACCCGGATGTGACCAGAGCCGCTTTCGCAAGAGCGAAGCAAATTGTTTGGGATAGCGTTGGGCAAGACCCACTCACCTCTGCAGATGTAGGGCACCTTAATAACACCAAATTGACTAATGCTGTGGCTTTGCTGGAAATGGCTGTCAGAGAAGCTGAGAAAATGGAACGAAATAAAACAAAACCTGTTGATCAAGAAGCAAATCACCAGGTCATCAGCCCTAAACTCCCCGAAACCAAACCCAAAGTTAACCAGTCAAAACATGATGACGCGCAATTAAAGATACTCAGACAACTCCTTCTTGAGGAACTTAAGCAGACGAATTTAACAAACGATGGAGCTGGCCACGTCCTCATCAGTGATATTCCATTTCAGAAAATGAGAAATCAACAACAAAGCAGATTGACTCAAAAACCTTCGTCATCGCCAGGAGACTCTTACTCGAATTCCAAAGTCAACCCGAGCAATAAAAATCAACTTAGCGGAACTCCAGCTCTTTTGGAAAACTACACTTCATTTATTACTAACATACTCAAAGCTGCCCATCTGAACGCTTTAAAGAACATTAAGGGAGATTCGAGCAGCACACCTGTCAAATCAAACTCAAATGTAAGGTTGGCCAGTGAATCCCAAACTCAACAACCAGTTACTAACCAACAAAGCACATTAATATCAACTACAGGACAGAAGTTAAACACACCGAAAGAGCAACAGCAAGAACATCAGCTCTCCTTCGCTAACGCAGCACAGGAGCAAAAACAACAACAAAAACAGCAACAAAACATTCAACCTGTTAATTTGCCAAAAGAACGCCTTGATGCAAGGAAAGCCTTTGGTACGGCTCAAAAGTTGGTGAAAGCCATGTTAGCGAGACAAGAGCTTTATAGAGCAGAAAATGACTTCTTTAACAAGATTCATGAGATGTTGAATAAAAGTTCAAAATACCCATTGAACACAGGCCTAGAAAACGATGCAAAAGAGTCGAGGATCTCTGGCCAGCCCACGGTTGCTAGTCCTTTACAATCCCCTATAAGCCAGTCTCCAATAAATACTGCAAGTAGCCCATCTCTTGGCGGCGAGGATAAGAAGAAACAGCCATCAGAGTCTCAGGAAAAGTTTGATGAAGCAGCGCATCTTGAAGAGAAGGTAGCGGCTCAACAGGATCTGATGTACGATGCATTGATGAAAGGTCATACGATTGGAACTGTTAAAGGCGGGGGCGATGGACCATTTGATGAAGAAGGCACCATTCGTGAAAATACAGGACAAGATGGATTAGATGACTCCTACAACACGGAAGATTATGGTGATTTTAAGGACAGCGACGAAGAAGCCGAAAAAAAGTTCTATCACGACCACAATCAAGATAGTTTTGAGGCAAAAGGCATGGAGGACACCATGTTAGGCGTTCGCGATAAAATAATCCAACTGATTCCAGAACATGCGTCAGTTACAGACTCGAGCGGTATTGACACAACATCGTCTCAGACAGGAAACATGCGCAGCGAAAAGAACTTCAATTATACATTCGGTGAAAGTGGAGTCAGCTCGGGTGATCATAATACCAGGGAAAACAACAAGACAAGGCGCAATAAACATATTCACAGGAAACGAAAACTCCTAGGAAAATTATGAAAACCCTATCGATATGCACTCTTTGTGGACTAGAGGAATGTTTCCAGGCAACAGAGGGCGCTTTTTGCGCGCCTTTTTCTACAAAAAGAATAATGTAAAGGATTCATATATTCATAGATTAAAACATTGTCGACGACCCTATATTGCTTTTTAAGGCAGGGAAGAATGAAACTAACACGCACTAAAGTTTAAAGAATGCGTTACTCGGATCAGAAAATTTCATGCCATATTAGATCTAATTAAAATCACAATGCAGATGTCCAAACAGCATGAATAATGCATTATGTATTTCTCGCAATTCAAAACAACAACAATAACCACCACAACAAAAATCTATTTACCTTCGCAATTAAAATACATATCTGACCGCCCTTCCCGAGAAATAGCGAAGTCAATCGAGGCAGGAGGGAAATAAACATTAAAATAAGTACTTCAATAACAAGTTTGACTGAGCAAAGGAAATAACTAAGAGAGCATGCATATACACCAACAACGAAAACAATAGGACAAATTTTAGAGAGGCCAAAATTACTGCCAAACCAAGCATCTAATAGACCTTTTTGTCTGAGTGAATCTCACCATTAGAGCACTTTGAAAAAGTCTTATGGTTTAGTGTTAGGTTTATGACCCTAAATAAAAAAAAATATTTTACTCATAATTAAATTGAATAAAACATTTCAACTAGAAACAACTTTAAACATGTTTTGGCCGTTGAAAATCTCAGCTTTAGATGCTCATCAACAATCGGATTATATGAAATGAAACACGAAATTAATGCGCACATATTTGCCATAACTCGGGGGAATGTATATCAGACAGAAAAATGATTTTTCCATGACAACATAGTTCTAGACTTCCACCGAAGATCTCACACGTGTTACCTGCTTTCTAAACACCTCTTTTCACCCCGACATGAAAATGTTCCTTGAACGTTCGTGTCAAGACACGCAAATTGGGGTGAAGGCCGAAGAAATACTAGGTTACAAAATTATTCCCTCGTCATGAGCTTAAGGCGTACATTTTTAAAAGTAGTTGTACGTGTTTTGTTTTAGCTTGTTTGATTGTTTCTTTTTTCTTTTCGCCAAGCTTCTTTGTCGTCCTTACTCTAAACGGGAGTAAACACACCAGAAAGGAATAATATCGCAGGATGAGAACTTTTATAGAACACCTGAAATGAATTTAATGCAAATTTTTCTTTTGAAGGGTCTAAAATTTGAATGGTAGAGTGGAAAATTTCGTGAACACAACGAGACATCGTGCTTCAAACCTTAAATTCGATTGCCGAAATGAGACGGCACGAGTATTTCGGCTACATAACCAGATGGGGTAGCCAGTTTTTTACGTAATCAGTACCTCTGACAAACCTATATCATACGAGTGAGATATTATGCTTCGATATTAAGCAGTTTGGGCAAACTCTTTGCTTTCCAAGTGAATACCAACCCTTTAACTGACTCAACACCCTAATTCAAAATCTAAATTCAGAATCTAATTCTTTAAGGCAGGTGTAAATTTATTATGAACATAATTTTTCATTTGGGAGGTTACTGGTTAGGTCAAGATATCACATTTTGAATATTCAAGGGAGATTATCGAGTATGCATTTTTTTTAAGTTACCATGAATAAATGAGAAGCTTTATTAACTGATCCTGAGCGAACTAGAAGGTGCATCTTTTAGATAAAATTATTCCTTAACCACCAAGTTTAAACGTCAGTGACATATATTTCCTACGAAACTTCAGAGCTTATGCATATCCTCTTTTTCTGTACGAAAACAGTTGCAGCAAACTTAAAGAGGATTTTGTGCTGGACCAGGCTTTTGCTTGCCTAACTTCCAAAACGAATGCTACATATGAGGAATCTTGTAGCCAGACAACGGTTAGAGCTGTCCATCATTCTGTCCATCATTAAACGGATAAACCAATGTAAGCCAAAGGAAAAGACAATACGTCGTAAGAAATGCCTTCACCATCAGAACGGATTAAAGTAGATTAGATAAATATAATACACCGTCAAAACCACAGCAACCTTTGACCAGAAGGAGCATCGCCCTGATGTGTCCATTCTTCCCATGGTACTAGACTGCTTAAAAAACATTGGATTGGATGAACACCTTTACACGGAATTATTGTGAAAGCTGCTCATAGATCCAGGACCGTGCTACAGGAATCTAAGAGCAGGCGAACCTGTTAAAGCTAGTTTGGTTCTTTTAGGTGTGAAATTTTCTTGATAAGCACCCTTGAAGTTTTGACTAACAGGTGTGATACGCCTGACCTTATTGAGTTGCCCATGACAGAATTCGTTCACCCCATAATGCAACGCTGATGAAAAGTTTACTGTATTTTCAAACCATAGCGATCTTTAACCGCTTAATTCCATGTAGATATATGTCCTTTTTTTATCATCATGTGGATCGATTTAGTTTCAGTCCGACCCTTTTGACCAAAAAATTACACTTCATTCGTTAAATTTGGGGTAATCTCCTATTCCCTGGCAACACATGGGATTATTTTGGATTGCTTATGTAAATATTTAATTGGTAAATAACTATAATTTTATGATCTGGGTTACCAAAATATTTTATTCTTACATCAGCAACTGAGCTGTGATTTCTTGTGGCTTGCGGCAATTGTTTTGTACCAATATCATCAACAGTGCTTCAGCTCATGGTAAGTTGTGTATAACTTTGTATTGTCTACCTACTCCCTCATGGTTTTGGATGATTTGCCATTAGTAAATTGTTTTCCATACGATAATATTTTGAGCCTCTCTGATAATAATATTTTCAATACCTGCTACGAGAACTTTACGTAGTTTCCTTTATGAATCTTAGGAGACTTATTTTCTTGTAGTGCAAAGAAAGCACTGACGATGAATCATGATAATGTATATGAAACCTATTTACTTCAGGTAATGATATATCCTAAACAGACGGGAATATTGGGTATCCCGGCAGCAAAGTCTGAGAGACCTGCCATAATATAAACATCGCGAGGAAAACGATCCTGTTACGGCGAGTTTGGATCGTGTCTTTTTGAAAATAAATTATCCATTTGAAATGTCATAAGGCCTTAAATCTTTTACTTCTCAGTCTGAAGATCTCTTTCAAAAGGCTTTGGGGCCATTGGGCTACACTGCAAATAATTCTTCTGGTACTTGTAAATTTCGCACGTTTAGTTCAACGAGTCAATTGTATTTATCTAAAATATATCATGTAGTAGAAACAGTGTTGAAATCTTTTGTTAAACTGTTTTAGTAAAGACAATCTTCATGATTTTCTATAGCAAATGCGAAGAATTGAAGAATGACAAGAAAACGGTCGATGATCTTTTCGCTGCTTTTAGCAGTTCTCTTGTTCACAGGTAAGGAGCTGGTACCAGTTGTTTTGACAATAAAATTATCAGTGCGTTACAAAACTAATCAGTAGCCTTATGGCCGGAGTACTGGGGTGTCTTTAACAAGTTCTTTACTATGCAACAAACTTTATAAAGAACGGCGGTCCATGTTAAGCAAAGCGATACTCAGTAAAAGGAGAATGCAATGTGTTTATAAAACCTCAGTCTACAACTAGAAGAAATCAGAAATTATACTATAAAACTGTTAAACGCCTTAATTGAAAGAACTTGAGTAAACTATATTCTTAACTTAAATTAAAAAAAAAACAGAACAAAATGCACAATTAACAGGTAATATTTTCCATTTAATGTAAGTTCCCTCCCCCTACCGCACCCCTTTCGTTCCTCGTCCATTGAATGTAAGTTTCAGACTCCTCACTGAGCGTCTCACCGCTAAGCGGCAAGTGATGCGTGGGTTATTTTAGAAATCGATATCATTAAAAGCAGTGATAATGATGACAACGTTGTTAATGACTAGCCAAGTCAGAAGATATCGTCAGTTTAGTCACAAAGTCACAAACAGTTCTCTAATTTATCTCTACGATCCACTATAAGTTTCTTAAAAACAACAATTGGGAAGCGGCGTTCAGATCTTCAGATTTTTATCACATTATTGTTTGCTTTCCCAGACTTATCTTGTGGAAGGCCTTCAAAAGGTATTTGAACTTCATCTGTATTCTTAAGTCCTCAGCTATATCCACTATTATCCTCTTCTCCTTCGTTACATTTCAAAGTGACTTTTCGCACAGAAGGAGTATACGAAGTAAATCGTAAAGGCCATACTACCACTTAGTGGTCGTGCTGCGCTCAAAGATAGCGTGGAGATAATTACGAGGGTAGTCACTCACAGCGCAGTGAAAACATATTAAATGACGTTTCAGTTGTTTGGTATGGAGTAAGAGAGCATAGAATAAACCTTGCTTTCAATGACGTTCAATTTCTTCAAATTTTCTTCAATGATCATACAAGTTTCAAGGCAAACATGTTAGTAACTGAATACATTTTGGTAAGCTGCTAATCTCTTTGTTCTTCTGGTTTTTCAATGTCAAATAACAGAAAGTAAGTAATCATTGTGACAAGGTTGAGAATAATATAGTAATTTGTCAATGGCGAGCGGAAGGGATCGGACCATGAAAAGGGAGAAAAAATATATCGAATCAACTGCACGGCAGTCTTATGGTCTCATCATTTGTCTTTACTCTAATTCTTTAGGTTGTATAAATCAAGTTCGCAGTCTAAAATCGCATCAAAAGAGTATTGACTCTCACATTCCCCACCCAACTGAGACGGAAGCTGCTCTAAAGAAGTCATCCGTAAATGAGGACTGTGAGGAAGATGAGGAAAGTGGAGCTTCTCCCATAAAAGAAAAAACTAAAATCAAAAGCCTTCAAACAAGCATTCACAAGAACCTTTTGAAGCTCTTTCATAAGCTTAAAAGCGCTAAGCCTGGCAGTGTGATGCCTGATCGTAAAGAGTTTACGAATTTTCAGATAAAGCCAAACCCAGAAAAGGTGGACGATACAGGGGTGTCGACAGGTGTTCCATTAAGCAAGGTTCGAGACGGAATTAAGAATGTAAGTCAATTTCAAGATTTCAATACTACCTCGGCTCTTAAAGCAATTGACAAGTTGGTCAGCGGAGTTCTTCCAAACGTAACAGCAGCAGCTGCAAAGAAATTATCCAGTAACGACACTCAACTTGGGGATTCCGAAGGTGGAAGTGGTTCAGCAATGGATCCAAAAGAAAATGACCAAGGTAAAACAGATCCCTATGCGGCTATTGCTGCTGGACCAGACCATCCTAAGCTCCCTCCGGATTTAAAGATTGCTCCAGGCGGTGCCGAAGGAGAAGCACCCCCTGTTGTTCCTGTCGGTTTGTCAGACGATAGTAAAGGTGGCGATGGTAACAAGAGCCCTGATGGTAAGTACCAAATATTATTTCAGTTTAGCCTTTAGAATATCTCATATACAGATAGATATAAAAATACATTTTCATCTTCATCATTATCTTCTTTTGTTTGAAAGTTTAAGTTATGTTGCAAAGGACTTAATTCTAAGGCTGGAGGCCATTTCCTCTTATTATCTCGTGTTTTGGGAACTGAATATCAGCTGTTGCTTAAGTCTAGAATTTTGACAAAAAAACGAATTTTCCTTAGGAAAAGGGTTCTTTTCTGTAATTTAATTAAGAGACGTATGTGTGTGTGACATGACAGAAAATTAAATGTCGTTGTAACAAATGAATAACACGGTATCATTTTTCTCAACTTCCGTAGAGCCCAGCGAAGCCCCAAGTCAAGGAGATGGTAAGTATCTCGCAGTGATGTCAGACCATACTGACGTATAGGACACTACAAATCGGTAAAGGACAAGTCATTTAAGCACCGCAGTATTGATTTGTTTCCCTTCTTTGCAGACAAAGACAATGAGGAGCCTGACAACCCGATGGTGAAACAAATGCAGCAACAAGCTATGCAAGTCATACAAGAACAGATGCAGAACCAATTTAAGGCTGCTATGCAGACAGCAAAAGGAATGCCGGGGATGGGAGGAATGGGTGGAATGGGCGGAATGGGAGGCATGGGAGGAATGGGAAGCATGGGTGGTATGCAAGGCATGGGAGGAATGAGCGACGGAATGGATAGCATGGGCGGCATGGGTGGTATGGGAGGTATGGGAGGCATGGGAGGCATGGGCGGCATGGGTGGCATGGGTGGCATGGGTGGTATGGATGGTATGGGTGGAGGAATGGGAGGAATGGCTGGCTTTGGTGGACTGGGAGAAATGGGAATGGCCGGAATGTATGGCAACCGCATGGCAGATATGGGAGATATGGAAAATGCTGGCGATGCATTCCAACGAGACAATCTAAGAGGAAACGATGAATACTTTAATGGAGTAAATGGTTATTATGCGAGAGGATTTGGAGAAGAACTCAGGGAACCTATGGGTCCCATGGGGCCTATGGGACCCATGCCTATGATTGATGAACCTGCAGTTGGACGGGACAAAGTACCATTAGGATACGAAGACCGGCCCAGGATGCCTTATTTTCGTCCTTTTCGGAGACATCATTACTTCGACAACGAGGAAGATTTTGATGATGAGGGATTCGACAATGATGTCGACGAAGATGAACCTTATTTTGTTCCCGCTAGAGAACATGCTGCTCTTGAAGAGCCAGTGGAAGAAGGTCCTGAGAGTGATATCGACGAAGGGTACGATGCTCCTCATGATAGAAAAGCTAAAATAGCAAAGGTTGAAAAACCTGACAAGAAAGGAAAACAAAAGCACGACAGTCATAAGCTCAACAAAGGACACAAAGATCAATCAACCCTGGCATCAAAGAAGGACATAACCATGAAACGGGAAAAAACATCAGGTAAACTGCACGAAAGAAAGCACTGACCGTCTTTTACATCATGCATGAGACCACGTGGCGATCGCAATCTTAATAAGTTTATGAGGACACTGAAGACACTTTCCTCGTATAAAACGAAACTAACTGTTGATGAGCATGCACATTCCAAAGGAGTCACTACACCCAATGACAGCCGGGCAAGTTCAACTGTTATGGACTTATTTTCTCATATATAAGGTTTACCTCTATCAACATTTCTTTTGATAAATTTTCTTTGTTATCTCATCAATAAATGAACGGAGCTCTGTTTTTAATGAGTTTGAAGTGTTTCAAACAATCTCACCTTGTGCAGTTAAATATCATTTGAGAAACTCCCTATAATTAAATTCACCCTTTTAGGGAAGGGATTTAGTCCATTCGGATTCAATAATTAGTGTGCTCAAACAAAAATCAATGCAAGAAGGGAAATCGAACATCTTTCTGTTGCACATAAAATGTTTTGCACTCTGTTGGCCATACACGCGCTTGCCGCTAAGGCAGGTTAAGTGTTTAAGAATTGCCTGAATGCGCACCAAAAAATTGAAAGCTTATAGGAAAACATGTGTCTGACTACCTACTTGCAATGACTCATTAAGGCGATGATGAAATATGAGAATCCTTATTTTTCTAAGAACTTGCTGATTGATTATAGTGACCTTTGAAAACAGTAATTCAATGAGGTCATAACTTTGTTTAATAAGGCAGGCCTGACAAATTTACTTTCTTTGGTTTCGGCTTAATTTGTCTTTCACTTTTCTGCAAGCGTTATTATCTTGACGGCGTGAACTTAAATAACTGTGATGCAAAACGAACGGTCATAAACCACTTTAAAGAGTAATTCCGTGTCATTATAATCTCATAGGTGTGAGTACTGGGCCAGCAACTCCCGAGATGTTTTACAATTCTGCCATGAAACAAATTCAGGACCAGGCCATGGCGGGTATTGAAAAGCAGATGCAAAACCAATTCAGCGCCGCTTGGAAAAACGCGCACGGAATGGGAGGAAAGCCAAATATAGGAGGAGGAGGGGGAGGAATGGGTCGCATGGCCGCAATGAACGGAATGGGAGGAATGGGAGGAATGGGAGGAATGGGAGGAATGGGAGGAATGGGTGGAATGGGAAGAATGGGAGGAATGAACAAAATGGCGAGTATGCAAAACATGCAAGGTAGCATGGGACCAATGCAAGGTATGCCAGGAGGTATGGGCCCAATGCAGGATATGCCGCAAGGCTTAGGAGGTATGGGACCTTTCAATGACATGCCAGGAGACCTGGGAGGCGCAGGACCCATGAACGACATGCCAGGAGGTATGGGCGACATGAACGCAATGGGTAACATGGATGGTGCTGGAGGAATGGCTGGAATGGGAGGAACACCTAGTATGGAAGGAATGGGTGGTGGAATGATGGGTGGTGGATTGGACAATGGAATGAACGGATTCGGTGGAATGGATGGTATTAATGGCTTCACTGGGATGAATAACCCAGGTATCACAACCATGGGGGACGCACCTGGTGGCCTATTTAGAAGAGAGTTTCAACGTAAATTAGCAGAAAAGGACAATCATCACAAGAAAGCTAGAATAAATAAGTCTAAGAAAAGTGCTAGAAAAGCAAAAGAGAAATCGCATTAAGAAGAGTTATTTCCAATAGTTCTTTTAAGCATGTGTTTAAAATGCCTGTTTTATACGGGCGCCCATAGAACAAAAATAATTTAAAGGGTTCAAAATTTGTAAAATGTGTCAAGCATTTTGTTTTTTTAATTCTGCATTCGATGGTGAGAATCTATGACAACAGTTGTCGAACAAAACCATTGTCCTCATTATAACAATAGCTATAATTCCAATAAAAATTATAGTTACTCTGAGTTAGACCGGCATTTCAACCCCACTTTGACATCGTGATCATATCATTGCGAGCAGCGAGCGATAGTGATAGTTTAATCAAATTAATTACGGCAATAAAGATGGTTACTTTTACATAGAAAATGCCGAAAGTCCTTTCCCTTGTTGTGTTTCGAAGTATAACAAAACACTCGCATCAGTATTCTATTCCTCACAAATCAAAAACTCGGGCATTCCTCTTAAGGCAGGGTATTAAGAATTTACTATAGAGTTTCAGTTGTTTCAGTAGGAAATCCTAGCCAAAGGTTATATCGATTTTTCTCGTTCTTCTTGCTCCTCCTCCTAATATTACAATATATACAAACGAACGGAAGGGGGGGTATCATTAATTTCAGTGTATTTCGATTTGGGATAATTCCATATATCAGCCTTTCACATATTTGGCGCAGCGTCGATACCTTGCAGTTCGGGGCTATGAAAATGTTCTATCGAAAATAAAATTGTACTTTTGGATGGAATTAAACTTGTTGCGGTTCGCATTTTCGTTGCTCCGTATTACCGAATTTCGTGCAGGTATTTTTTTTACACACTTAATGTCATAAATTAAGTAAATTGAGAAATGTAGCCAGAGATAAAATTTGTGTTATGACTACTCGAAAAATCTTCAGGCCCTCATATTGGAAGCCTTTGTCGGCGAAACCCCGTGCTAACCTTTGATTTTTGTTCAGAGCGTCAAGAGCACTCAACGCTAAAAAAGCGAAAAAACATTTAGTATTCTTCAAAAAACCCCCTCAGAAAGAAATAGTTAAGTATATCGATGTCTTTAAAAACATCCTTAGTTGGAAAATGATTGGAATAACAGGCACTGACCGTCTGAATAACAATTTTTGTCCAAACTTAAATGGAAAGTAAAAGAGAAAGAAATGTTTGCCTTCGGGTTCTATTGGTGCGGTCTTGTTTATTAGAAATTAAAAATCCCCCACTAAATTATCCCATTAGAGGTTTATAAAAAACACATAACTGTTATCTTACAATTAGGGAAAATGTTTCGTCACATGCACACGGTTTTCGAATTGACCTAATGATAGAGTAGGAAAGTGACAAGAACTTTACCCAAAAGATTTAGGGGCTTTGTAGAACCCTTTGCTGCTTTAGTGGTTTTCTGTTGTCCACACTGTTATTAACTTCCTGAACTGATTTAATGGCTCCTCTTTCCCGTTCATTTGCCCTTGATCTTAATAATAGGAATAGGGCCGGCTGCCTTTACCATCCGATTAACAGCTCTGATCAGTTCATCTTTCTGTTCATCCAAAGTCTTTCTATTAGTTTTTCCCATTAATATCCTCGCCACGTGCGCTTCATGCTTCTTGTACTCATCTTGTCTTGTGAACATGCCGCAAATAATTTTGTCGTAAACTGACGTGTCCTTGATCCATTTATCACGAAGTTGAATTTTCCCAGAGCACAATCTGTGCAGTCTAGTAGTTCTCCTTTCCCCTTTCAAAGCCTTCGCTGTGTTTGCTGGAAGAGAGGTCATTTCACTGAGTGACATCCTTACACAAATACTTTGAGAATAAAAGAAATAGAAAGTTACGGAAACTTACGGTTTCCTCTGGGGTCTCCTAGAAGATATTTAAGCAAAGCTGCAAGACAATACGAGAATTGGTTGTTACTGTGACAACACTTGATAGTTGGCAACATGCAGCCGTAAATGGACAACATATTCGCTGCATGGGTAATAGCATTATTTACCCATTAGAGGTCACCTCTGGGGAATCTCCTCCATATAGCTATTGGACTGTCGGCAATCCGTTAAAACAGTACGTACACCCATGAACAAGAAATCGATGAACGATAGATGAGCAAACCAAACCTTTAGGTCAAATTTACAACCTTGTAAATGATAACAAGGTTGCTGTAAGTAACTTTTGACCAATTGCAACCGTATATCAGAAAAAATCGTAATTTGAGTCAATAAAATCTTTAGTTTTAGCTCCTGAATGTTCAAGATGGAAAAAAGAAATTTTGATGCGTAAGTGGTAAGGGGCTAGGTAGCTGAAAAACACTTGAATAGCGGCGTCCTTCGTTTGATGTTTTCGACAGTAATTCCAAATTTTACAAATACTTTGAAAGGCAGAAATAAAAATCGTATGGTTTCTGTTGTAAACTTCTCCTTTCAGAAGTAGTTGCCACTAAGGCTGTCATGCAACACGAATGTAGAGCAACATACCATATTCCCAAGGGCTTCGTCTGTCAATTTTCAATTCACGTTTTTGTATCTTTTCTATGGAAGTTGGAGAAAGAATTTAGTGAATTTAAAAAACGGTAAGAGCTTTCATGCCACGTAAAATAGGACGAGCAATTTGTGTAGTAATTCGTTATCAAAAGCATTCGACTAGCAATACAAAAGGTTATAAACTCGAAGAAAAAGTAAGTATTCAATAAAGCTTAAATGGAATATTGTATCCCACCGGCATTCAGTATAGTGGTATTATACCTAATACTTATTAAAAAATCCGCTATTGATATGATAAAATATTTCATCTAATTCTTTCACTGGGTTAGATTATTAGGCGAAATTGGTAACATCGGTTAAAATCATGCCGTTCCAAGCGAAAAAGGTAAATGATTATCATTTTTCTACAATTACATTTTCTAAGCTGTTGAGAAAATTGATTCAAGACTGAAGCAATCAGGTAATACCTAGCTTTGATTCCTTATTTGACGGATATTAAACCAAACCGGCCAATTTCTGTAAAAGTAACACTCAAACAGTTTGCTTGAGGACGAGAAAAATTAAGAAAGCTACATAAAAATAAAAGCGATGACATATGATGTTGGGGCTTCGCATGTTCCACCTGGTTGAGTTTAGTACCAGTAAAGGTTAACCATCCGAAAAACACTATTAACATCACGATTGTTGGACAAAGAAGATCAGTGGAGCGTTCTTGTAATTAAATTGGAGTTTATCTTACCTGCGGCTGCCAACTCCAGACAAGCAAAAACTGTTATGAAGAACAACCCCTTCATTATCTTGAAAACATGGCATGGACCTGAATTCCTTATCCTAAACTGTAGGCAATTCAATCTCTCGTCAGCCAACAAAAGAGAAGTACATTCTCACATAATGAGAAAGATGCTTAAAGGAAGTGTTTTTCAAGGAGATCTAATTTCTTCAACTCTGCAGATCTCTTAAAACAAAGAATGCTCGACTTCAAGGCACACGAATTAATTACTTTTAGGCAAATTGAAAGGTGAGGATGGAAGTTAATGGGAAGAAATATGATACTTCACTATGACACCTGCTACAGGAAACAAATCTCAGGAGTGATAAAGAGAAAGTTTAACTCACGGAACATTTTCCTATACGCTGATGCAAGGTGTAGTCGCTTTCAATAAAGAATCAGACGTCTAAGCACTGTCACTTCCCGTTTCACATCTTACGACGTACCAGCTACGTTTCCTGCTCGAAGATTTTATGACGTAATGTTTTGCCACCAACACAAACCACTTGCTGATTTTTCCCCTTTTTACGGGTTGTAGTTTTCTAAGTTTTTCATTGTAGCCAAATAGCCTAACCCTGGATTACACAGATCGTGGATGAAATATAAATTGAGGGAGCATAAACACTATTTTTCACGTAAGAGGGGGTGAAGTATTTGATCGATTTAATTGCTACAACCTGCTGTCACCATCCAGATTGACACCAAATCACGACCTTTTCACTTCTCTTTTCTATCTTCAATTAATTCTGAGCATTGTAAACTCCAACCCGTTAGAAATAGGATCGTCATAAATGTAGATCGGGGTGTACTCTGAGGTCAGAAGATTAGGACCAACGGATGTGGTTGCCTTCGTGAACGGGGCAAAAACACAACTGGAAATCGTAAGAAATTTTCTCTCTTTCCTTTATCCTTTTACAAGCAACTACTCCTGGCTTCTGCACCCAGTGCAGCGCATTATATTTTCCGAGGAAAAAATTATTACCATAGTACAGTTTTAGTTCAGTTCTCCTTACTTTCATTAACGCGCATTTGGAGGGACTGAAACGAGCATTTCCTGAAGCATGATGTTTTCTCATGGAAACATAGAATTACAACGCTCCACCACTCATTACCAAGAAACAACTTATGAGAAAGTTTGACCCTCTAACTGATTTAAAATGTTACTATTCTTTCGAGCGACCATCGATTTGAAAACCTGAAATGTGTTATCTGGCGAAAAAACCCAAAATATATAGGTCAACACCTTTCGCAATCTCAACCTTAAATGCAAATTAAACTATGTGAAATTCAAACTTTTGGTCTCAGAATAACGTAATTTGATGAAGCTTGATGAAACTCATTACTTGTTATGTTAAGCTCAATATAATGGCAGAGAGATACCAGGTCCGTTAAATAACGTGCTAAACTTGACTGAGCATAAAATTCTGAGTGATTCAAACCACCATTCCTGAAGTAGCTCGTAGTAATTACGCGCTGTACGCGCTCCCCAGATGCAATGTCTCTTTTGCGCTGATCGCGTCTTTCCAATAGGCGCTCTTACCATGTGACCAAACTTTCTCTTTTTGTTTAAAGTTCATAGCTCCTGCCTATTTCTCCTCGTATATTATTAGATTTTCCAACATTCTTAACTATTCTATAAGGCAGAACACTAGATTATCGTTACCGGGAGCAGAAACAAATTTTGGTAAAAACACTTTGCTTTTAACTGAGAGAAAAGTTTTAATGTGCAAAATAGATTTTAATGCGGGTCTAATTTTTTTGAGAATTTTTTCAGTTACTTGATAGAAATTAGATTTTTAACGTAATTTTAATTTTTTAACCAAATTTTAATCATAATTTATATTTGATATCAGGCTCAACCCTGAAAACTTGTCCAATGAGAACCTTATACTGATCGCAAAATAGCTTTCATGGTAAAAGGACTGAAATTAATCCTAAGTACCCCTGTACTGGCTTCACATAAAACCCTCCTTAAAGATTTTACGGACTTTACTCGCTCTTTGCGCCTAAAATAGCCAAACGCTACCAAATAGGCAAACGGTTGCTTTTGAAAATTATTTGGAGCGCACGGAAGTAGAGACTGCCTCTAAAACCATTCCCAACGGAAAAGATAATCTAAAAGCAAAGCAAAAATATGCAGTTAACAGCGAGATAAATCTTAAAAAAGCCGACAAAGAAACCACTACAGTTATAATGAATACCAAACTAGCAGTCTCTAATAGGAAGTGAAATACTTCGAGGTTAGCTCAATATACTTTCGCCGCAAAACTTCGTAAAACTCACCTCACATAAGAAAATCCCCACTCCAGCACACTTCAAAGCATGCGGTCGACTCTGTCAATGCTACACATTGGTTCGCTACCGCTGACCAATGTAATGTAGACGTGTTCATAGGAACAAACATATTTCGGTAGCCCGACCACAAATCGAAATCAGAACTGGCTGTAAACTCGTGCTTAGACCTACGCACAATAGAAAGCTCGTCAAGATTAGTGTTGTTGCGAGCGAACGCAGCAAGCGAACGCAGCAAGCGAGCAGCAACAAAACATACAGGAGGGTTACGAACAAGTCTCTAACGAGAAATTCTATTATCCCCTTACACAACCAACAGTGTCTGAAACAGCCAAAAAAGTCAAAACGATTGTCAACATTTTGTTTACTAAAGAACACATTGACAACATGACCTATAAGTGGCTCAATTCAGGCTAAAAAACAACCTAGAATACAGAAATTTTATATGCTGACCAAAGTACATAAAAACCATTCCTGTCGGCAGACCCATCGTGTCTAGTAACATGGCCCGACAGAATGTATTTCCAGTTCTTACAACTGATCGCGAAAACACAAGCCTTACATTAAAGACACTACTCAGTTTATAAACTTCATCGAAAACACTCCACTTCCAGAAGAAGCGGTTTTAGCTACTTTCGACGTTTTTACTGATCAGTTATACTAACATTCCCCTAGAAGAGGGAATTAAAGTCATCTGTCAAAACTACGAAGAGCATTTCCGTCAAAACGTCCGATCCCAACAAAACGAAAATTCTCAAATTCGGCGACAAACACAATCTACAAACGCACGGAATAGCTGTGGAAACAAAAATGGAGGTAGCTTTTGCGGTCATATTCATGGTTCATGTTAAGAAACAGCTACTAGCTACAAGCCCACATGAACCATTTCTTTGCAAAAGATACATCGAGGACATTTTTTTCCGTGTGGACCTTTTCCGAAACCGAAATCAACAACTTCATTGATTTCGCTCTACGATTTCATTCTACGCCACTATTATATTCACGCATGAACTGTCGTCAGAAAAAATTGTTTTCCTCAATACTGAGGTTTTTTAAAGGACCCAGATTTATCGACAGCAAAATCCGTGATGTTTACACATATTATAAGCCGACAGAAATGTTCCAATAAACGCACTTCTCTCCATGCCACCCTCTCAGTGTTTAGAAAGGTTTTGTAGAAGGAAAAGCACTACGCTTGCTGAGAACAATCTCTCAACAATCTCAACAATCTTTTGAATGGAAGAAGAAAAAATTTTGTAACTCGCCATATAAAACAAGGCTACCCTCAGGACCTCGTTGAAAAGATCTTAACCGAACCAAAATTTTTATCACGCAACACGGCTTTAAAAAACAAACTGAAATCATTTAAAAGATTTTGCCGTTCGTTCCAACTTTCAACCCTGCCAACCAGAATCTTAGAGAGATTCTTTAGAGACTCTGGCACCTCATTTCTGGCAACAATGACCTGGCGCAAATATATCCTAATCCCTTAATTGTTGTCATCAGAAGGACAGGTCTCTAAAAGATTCTCTTATTAGAGCACAACTTCCTTCGCTTTAATCACACAACAGAATTTTAGGAGTTAACACGGTAAAGGTCTAGTGACAGTACTATAGCACTGAGCTGAATTGGCTTCCCTGTCTGATAAAAGTTTTACTTTACTTTAACCTGTGAATTCCTGCCACAATTCCCTTATTGCTGAAGTCTATGAGTTTGTTATGTAACCTTGCAAATCCCCTGTATTATATTAATTAAATAGCCCGAGTTATCAACTTTTATATCATATTATTATTTTACTATTACGCCATTTTACCATATTGGGACAACGGAACGCGAAAAATATGTAACAATATTTCATAGTAGAACAGGGGGAAAGTGGAGCAACAAAATGGCCGCACTGAACTACCCAGACAGTGATTGTTCTTCCTTTTCTCAGGCATGACTCTCTCAGAAACGAACGTTAGGCCCAGAAGATTTTTGGTGGTCGGAAAGAAAACTTTTTCAAATTACTTCATCTTCTACGCACGTCGTATGCGATCGGTGCGATGCTCAGATTAAACTGTCGGGAGTATTTCCAAAACTAGATGTCAAATGGTAGAAAATTAAACTCTTGATCTAAAGTTTAACATGTAATGCGAGCGAACATCTTGCTCATTGCCAGTATAATTCCTTGCCCTTATGAGGCTCGCAAAAAAAAAAACGCAACTCGCAAAATATCTGCTCGTATTATATGTTAAACCAGAGAATGAGGTGTATATATTTACAAAAACAGGACCTCTTTAAAGACATATTGCAAATGTTTTCTAGAAGATTGTGATTCGATAGCATTCAAATATGTCCCAAGCGCTTCACTAAGTTTGGATAGGGGTGTTAAATACGGTGTCCAATAAGGTGTCCTGTATGCATTGCCAATGCCACTTCATCTGTGTACGCGCATGCCATATGTGAGCTGCTCGGTATAAAGCGCTCAAAGCAAAACAAAAAAGTTTATCAAGCGTTTGTTACAACGCAACTACGGATTCTAAACATGCAACTAACACGGCGTAATTTAAGAAATTACAATGCATGTAGTGTAGATAACCAACGGTTATGTACTAGGTAAACCCACCATGTTTCTACAGAATGCACATAACAAGGTTGTGTTGGTGTTTGCATTTATCACCTTAGTCAAATTATTATACCTGTCAATCGATTTAAAACGATCCGCCTGTTAAGAGACTAATATTTCAGTGTTACTGAAGCGTTACCAGAGCGAAGTGATTTATCAGTCTATCAGCAAGAACAGTTTTAAGTCTCATGTTCGGAGTCAGCAGGTGAATAATCACGAAACACTAAGCACAGTCGAAACCCTCCTACAACATGGCAACCCCAGAATAATCCTTGAAGAAAGAGGATACAAGCAATCATCGCCTTCGTTTCTTCTTGATAACCTTGGTTTAACTAAACATTTAATCTTTACTTTCTCCCACGTGCAGGCTAAATATTGGCGAAGTCGATGGACTGCACAACTTAGTGGTAAATATTTAATTTTGCTTGACTTTAGAACATCTTGTTGAATCTAATGACGTCATTTAGTGGAAATGACCAAATAGGAAACATTTTCAAGTTCTCTTTGATCTGGATTTTTGTTTTTTGAACGGTAAGTTAGAATGTGATTGAAGTTTTTAGCTTTCTGTAACTCCTATTTACATATACAAAGCAAAATATTTCAGCTTGCGAATGGAACAGATTTTATTATATAAACAATAATAATTACAAGCAATCTAGAAAAAACCTGCTTTGCTAAGAGGATTTGGAGCAAAGTTGAAAATATGGTAGAAACATGTTGATAAAAACGATTAAATCTAATAAAGTTTGTTGTTGGCGAGCAGTCTATACAAACTTATTAACAAACAGGGCCTGATAACCGGAGCAGACATAACTTTTGGTGGCAAAATAATATATCATTTTCCTGGCAGGTACAAATTTGCGATAAATAAACAATAACGAACAAGGAAAGGCCGTGGAATGAACAGGAGACTTCTTCTAACGTGCCTGACATTGTGTTTGTCGCACGCGGGTAAGTTTTATGTTACAAATATCAATCAACCTGGATATAAGATGGTACTGACATGCTGTGAGATGTTTGAATATTCTAATTTCTTTCCACCAGCCTCGCCACAAGTAACAAACGATTGATGTACTAACTTCAAATGTGACCCAGTTCCCTCAGATGGAAATTGTTGTCTTCTTTTTGTATCATAATTATCAGTTCTGTTTTTAAGTCGCAATCTCGTAATTATGGTTTTTGGCTCCTATCTCAGCTTCCTTATCCTATATTTTCCATTTGACTTGACCTTTCATTTACGATTTGAAACCGTATTGTATCTAAAACTATTGCTAAAAGTTTGCCGTCCTTTTTATTGATGTAAGCGAACTGTCTAAAAAATTTCTACGTATCTTTCCAAGAGAGTGATATTTGTTGGACTCCAAGACCAAATAAACATCCACCATATTCTTATTTTCACAATTTAGGCTAAACTGAATATTAGTGCACTCGTAAAGTCGTGATGTTTTTAAGAAGTCCGGGTAAAATCTAGAGAGACATTACAGTCGCGATCAGCGAAAAATGGACAATGTCATATCGAAATGATTGCTTGTACGGACAGTTTAAGAGTGGCGACAAATCTTATTAAGCTAAAAATAATAGTAAATTGAAAGTGAAAAAGTAAGAAACAGGTACTCTATTGTGCTTTTCGATTCACTTGCCCTCTCTCTATTCTTAAGAGGAGACCGTCCTAATCTGGTCACTGACAAAGTCTTTTTGGGACATGCTTGCAATAAGTTGCTTATTGGGCTTGCTAAGTATATTTTCAATGGATCCACTAAAAAAGGAGGATAGACAATCCCCGAAGCTTAATTAAAGTCACTGTGAGGCCTCAACTTGGTAACAAAACGAAGAAAATCAAAATTTAATCGCAACAATCATTGACAGAGGTTTTGCTCTGTTGTGTATACTTTCCTGTTTGCTTGTTTGTTCAGTTTATAGCTTTATGCTGTCTAGATGCTTACAGTTTGTTTAGCTATTCGTCTGCTCGCTTCACATGTATATTGTTATTGACATTATTCTTGTTACAGTATTAACGGCACCGTTGGAGTCATCTTCTGGAAAGTCTGGCGAAGACGAAGGTGAGCTTTGTGAACTGTTTCCTGTGTCTTTAATTTGATAAGCGCAACGGGAGCTGGGATAAGTGGGAATTATCCTCTGAGCCTGATGCTCCCAAGAATCACAAGGAAAAGAGGAAACTAACTAATCTTTAGGATGCACCAAATTTATTTATGGTGCAAGGTCAAACAAATCACAAGGAGTGTTTTATGGACAAAAAAGCGTGCAAATTTCTTTATTTGATTCGTTCTTAGCGCATCCAGCGACTCCAAAGTCGGTTAATCTTGAAGATAAAGGTAAGTGTAATTTCAAATCATGCATGTGACCTCCAAATGCATGTGCCGCGGAAATAATAAACAAATTAGCATAGTTTGGTCAAGGTTGTGATCAAGGGTTAAACGAACTTTAAACCTTCACGCAAAAAATTAGCAATACTATTCATAGTTGAATGTGTATTGTGCTCTCCCCCGTTCGTGGGACTTAAACCCGTTGTTAATTTTCTTAATGAGTGTTTTACATAAACTTGGACGCAATTCATGAGTACAGCTGCTCCCTGAATGAAAAATATTGGCCTCTGTTATAGTGAGTAATGTCATAGTATGGTCAAAAATTTGTTTTTGTCTTAGTAAAAGAGGCAGTGCAAAAAGCTGAACTAGACGCAAGTCTAGCTGCGCAAGATGCTGTAAAGCATGGACATAAGGCTGAGACAAGAGTTGAGAGCATCAAAAGCTCTGAAGCAAGTGACGGCAGTAATGATCACAATTCAAACGAGAAGCCACCAGCTTCCAGAAAACATGAGACGTCAGGTAAACCCAGCGATTCCCTTAGTTAAGTTCAATCATGCTAAAACTGAAATGGTGAGATTCTCTGTTCTATTTGAATCTATGCTAATTAGTGGGAACCTTATGAAACTTAGCACCAAAATTTGTGTCAGGGCAGCAGTCTTCGATCAGCCCCTCAGTTTTGTTGCCAACTTAATATCATCTTCAATAAAACCTTAGTTACAAAATGGCTATGTGAAATTATCATCATTTTTGTAGCAAGTGACCTGGACGAAGGACCCCATGTAAAGCGAGTAAAGGAGCACAAGGTAAACCGAAAGCCAAGCGGAATGGGAAAGATGTTAGGACTGGGTGAACTGGGAGACATTGGAGGAAACAATAATGAGTACAAAGAAGACACTAGGCTGGAGGATCGCTTAGCCATGGAAGCTGAAGAGGAAAAGAAATACGAAACCGGAGAAGGATATGGCACAGGAGGAGGAGGAGGAGGAGGAGGAGGTGGAGGTGGTGGTTGGGAAGATGGAGGAAAAGGTGTGAACTGGGCCACAAATATCCAAAGACAAGACGCTGCAGAGGTAAAAATGACTATGTCTAAAATGCCTCATTAACGAGGACTTGCTAAAGCTTTCATTCAGCAAACAATTCACTTAGCATAAGGTAGAGAGTGGACAAGATATCACATAGATTGCAAATCGTAAGCTCTTTCACCAAAGTACTGTGAGCACGTAATAAACTTTGGTCTTCCATACAAATTATATTTATCTGTTTCCCCACTGCTTTAATTAGCTAGTTAAGAGCCGTGGAGCTGCTTTTACTCTTTTTCCTTGTATATACATAGAAACAAAGCATTCAAGCCCAAGTTGCCTCTGAAAGTGCACATGAATTGGACGAGATCCAGCGCGCCATTGCGGCTGAGTCTCAATCTTCACGCGGTTCTGCATCAATTGGCAACGGAGGTGCTTCAGTAGTTGGGGGAGCAGGCGGGGTATGTAATACTCTTTCACTTTCTACTTTCCACCATTTACTGATTTATTTTGTCGAGCTTAAATGGAACATTTTTACGGATGTTTTTCTTTTTACAAAAGCAACCGATATTGTACAAAACGTAAATAAACAAGTCATTGTTTGTATTGTTTGTCATTATCCAACTGCACTAAGTAAAGTACAAAGAATGCGATAGTCGGCAAAAGTGCACGCTACAACCTCGAAACTGAATCCGATAATCAATATTCATCAACCCGGCATACCTTGCCCTTATTGTGACTTTTACTCATATTTCCATGAAATCCTGATGTAGAAGATGATTCATTTCGAGATCCATGTATCATATCACTTATCATGAAAAGCTCGATGCGTCCCCAAACTTTTCATTTGAACACCAACTAACAACGTCGTTCGTTATGTATGTTTGCCTATCAAAGTACAGTGATGATTGTTTACAGTATTTGCTCATCAAAATAGGTTCAGGATCAAGAAGGTATGCAACCAAGGATATCAAATCCAGAAGGAGGAAGAGGGCAACCAATGGCCTTTGTAGGAGCTCAGCAAAAAGGAATTACTCCTTCTGAGAACCAAGGTTAATGCACTTATATACCAATCATCTTTTTCTTCACCACCGAAATGGGCTCTGACAGTAAGATGCCTTCTAACTTTCCTAATCTTAACCAACTGTAATAACCTTAACCCACCTAAAGGTGGTCCTTTCACGACTATAAATCGCAATTAGATATGCCAGTGTTAACTTACTTCAAATACGTTTACTCAACTAGCTTACAAGTAAGCTACCTAGAACAGTATACCAACAGAGAGCTTCCTCACTTTGGCGATTAATAGATAAACTAATGATACACATATTCCAGCATTCTAACAAGACATCTTGTTGAATGTGTCTCTCCTTTTGCATGCCTGCATGATGACGGACACATAAAAACCCTGACCACGCAGAGGAATTTCAGGAATATTCATCACCTTATCTATCCGTTGGTCAGCCAGGTTGGTCCAAATATCTCGTAGTTCCCCTTTTCCTCAGTCGCGTCTTTACCAGTTCGAAAATATCTAAAAAGAAATTAGGAAATTTCATACTTCCTTCTTGCTAACGAGTATCGCTGGTAGTCATCATTTTTATTCCAAAATTAATCTCTTACATTCAAGAGACACTCTAAACAATAAAAAAACAACAATAACAACAGCACACACACAAGCATACAGCCGACTTTAGGCGTTTCAATTAACCGAAAATTTTCGCACAGAGATCTCAAGCCTCGTTCACCAAGCCGACAAAATGTTGCCGGGCGAGATGAGAGGATCATCTCAACAAAACAACATGGTAATCGGTGGCTTAGGAGCCCGTGGAAGCCAAGGTGTAAGTGAAGGTATAGCAAGCTTTGGAGGAATAGAGGGGGGGCAGCAACTTGGAGCACAAAGTCAAGTATCACCGATGGAGCAACCTCCCGTGGCATCTGAAAGAGCTGGATATGGAGGTGCCTTGGAGCAAGGTGCAGTGAATCAGGAAGGATTGGGTCAAGGGGGTCTGGCAGGATTGAGTGACTCTGCAGTGAGCCGCATGAGCGAAGATGGAACAGCGGGAGGATCCTTGCAAGGAATCCAGGGAGCTCAGGATGTTCAAGGGATGCAGAGCTTGACATCTGCTTTTGCAGGGGGGCAACAAGTGCAGGGTGGAATGCTATCTGATGGAGGAGGTGTTAGCAGCTTGCAAGGGCAAGGATTAATGGGAGGTGGTCTTCAAGGAGGCTTACAAGGTATGATGGGCGGTGGATTGGCAGGCCTGCCGGCCATGGGCGGTGGAGGACAATTTGCACAACAGCAAATGTCATTTAAAAAGGTTTGTGGCAAAAAGCCGAAAAAAAAAATTAAACATCGAAATGACGTTATCTATAACTGAAAGCCGTCAATCTTACGTGACTTATGCATGTTGTCACTACTGCTTTTCTCTTTTCATAAGGCGTGGTTGATAAAATACAGGCAAAAGTCAACATACATTCAGCAAGGAAGAGCAAACCTTGAATCCAGAGACGCAAGAAAGGATAATCATGTGCATGATTGATCTTTGGGGAAGGTTAAAATGTTCTTGGTGAATAAAAGAATCACGAAACGATATTTTTTAAATTTGTTTGGTTTGAAAAAGAAAGATTGTATCTCAGTAAATAAGATGAAGGGTGTCCGTACATCAGAGATGTGGTTTGATCATAGACACTATTAAGTTATTTCGAATAGGAAAAAGCATTGTGTTCAGAAATGTACCGTAAACGCTACGTTACTATCACATCACAAATCTGTTCATCTTCCACTGACACATAAGTTCACCACACGTGCCTGCTAGCTATTACTACATAGTAAGTTATGACTTTCTTTATAAATACTTCAAAAGGAATGGACAAAGACATTTTCATCATTTCTACGGACTAATGATAACAATAACTGCGGCAGAATACTACTGACTCACTGACGACTTACTTTTATCCCTGAACAGTCAACAATAGCAAGACCACGAGACTTCCAGGTAACGATTTAACTTTACTGGCAGTTAGACAAAGTAAAGCCTTGAAAACGACTTTGACGTCGCCGTAAGGACAAACAATTGATACCTTTGGCCTCTATTGGACGGACACCATCATCACAATTCATCTCTTCCATCGATATTCTTACCAAATTCATCTACTTAAATGAACCCCTTTTTTTCTGAGTGACTTTAAGACCGGCAACATCTAAGAAAATTGCAAGTGAGCCACGGCTAACGTTCTTGTCGATCTGCAATTACCTTGCTTTCACAACAAATAGCGAGGCATTTTTAAAAATTAGCCGTATTAAGCTCAGTTTGGTTGGACATCAACGTTAATTTCAATTTCAGCGCTCCAAGACACACCAGAAGGAGGACACCAAGACTAAACATAGGAAACCTTCCCAAATACATAAAGATGCTTTTTCAAAGAATTCTGTGCCAAAGAGGCATTTAATGGAGGATAGAAAGACAGTATCAGTCAAAAAGGTAGGACGCTATCGATGAATAACGTTCATAGATTTTCTAGCTGAAATCTGCTTGTGGCATGGAAAATTTCATCAGGAACTGAGCGTGGGCGAAATACAAATTTGGCAATATCTTTTCGATATTCTTCCAGCTGCAGGACATTAAAACGGAACGAAGCAGATATAAACCAATTGAGTTATAGCACATTATGCTTATCAAAGACATTTCCCCAAATCGTAATCAAATATAAATCAGGGTTATAAGTTAAGGGTTTGAAACAGTCTCCCTTCATGGAATTTTTCAATGTACCAAAGGTATATTTTTCAGCGTTCCAATCTACAAGCTTCTTTTTCTACAGGAACGCATTTTTGCGGAGCTAACACAATCCACAAAATCCCCAAGAATGAAAAATTTTCAGCGAAAGCGGTTTTTGAAAATTGAGATCAAACATTCTATCATCCTCTGAGGATTTAAACGATGAGGACCATAAAATTTGCGGAAAGTTGAAACTGAGTGCAAAAATGTGAATTTTGAAGGAATTAAGTGTGCAATTAAATGTATATCACGAACAAGTACTGAGCTGATTATGAGTGCAATTTGAAATAAATAAGTACGAGTAATTTTTTCAAAGACCATTTTTTTCCTGTTCCTTTTAGAGTAAAATGATGAGGAGGCAACATTCAAAGCACTCGACCGCAGTTTAAAACTGACTCGCTCCGCCTAAAGCACGAGCCATTACGAACGCTTCAAATTTTCCTGGCAAAGAATGAAACGCCCACGAGTTTTCTTGGCCATCAGAATTATAGATTGCAAGAAGATGTACTGACAATTCGTTTGCAATATTTGTTTTAAATCGTCCTAAAGGAGCAAGAAATCTTCTCAAATGAAGCCAGTCGTAAATTTCATTGGCATGACGCATGCGTGATCGGCAAGACATGAGTTGTCAAAAACTAGACATTTAATGATGTGACATTTTTTATCTAATACCATTCTAGAATGAATACCTAGCTTTGAAAAAAATAAAAACCAAGAAAGATATTGTTTTGTAAATTCTTTAATTGTCTGGTTACTTCGATCTATGTCAGCTCGTCGTTTCTTTATCTATTAAGTTACTCTAAACATTGCAGAAACAAAGGATGGATAAAGGAGACCTGGTTTGTCAAGAGGATGATAGTTTAAGAGAGAACGTTCTGCTTATTAACGTGTTTCCTTGTGCTGAGAGCAAAGCAAACAGGGGAAATTTCATTTAATAGACACACTGCTCATGCATCTCATATGGATAAAGGTTCTTTTACTTTCTACTTAGTATAGGTAATCACATGAGGCCAAGTACTATTAAGGATTAATTGCACGAGAGTTTTCAAATCGTTAAGAAGTTCTTGGTTTCCTTTTGGGAAAAGAAAACATCCGCTGATTTTTAATCGTTTAGGAGGATTAACTTTAAAAATCATTGTTTTAACTTACCATATCTTAACACTGAAGATAACGCCAGCGGCCAGTGTTTTACGAGATACGGATGGTGATTACTGGCGTCAAGTTAACGTAACAAAGCAGCATTTGTGATTCTACACACCATAAAACGTGTGCCCGCAAAACCGACCATGATATACGACATTGCCGTTCACACATCTGAATTTTTTTATACTTAGCGTCTGGTTGAATCAGTTGTATGAATCATAAAAAATTATCTACAGCGTTTGTACGTATAACCTCCACCTATTCGGAGATTATTACATTGAGACCTTCAAGTTTCATTGAGAAATTCGTCTTCAAAAGATATGATTTTCTTCAGATTTTTGACTCCAAATATTTTCCAGGCGTTATAGTGCGCTTGATAAAAGAGAAGGAAAGTGAAAAAAGAATATGGCGGGTTACTTGGCAGGTTTACAGTCACCTTTATTGAACTGCATCAGTTAACCACAGACAAAAGCTAAAGGAAACTTAGGTGAAGTCGGCATATCCCGGCCAACCCCCTAGCAAGAATCACGTTTCACTAAATCAAACCGATGTTATGTAATTGTTAACTAACGCATGTCACACGTCGTTTTTCGTTTCCTATATGGCCTTCCCGCTTCTCGTTTAGTGAACCTTGGTCACTTGTGATTAAGATTGATGTATTGACGAACTGAGCGAGGAGATTGAGACCATCAGCATAGGAGTCTATTTAATAAGGAAATGTGCTAAGAATGTCTGTTCAGAAAGTCCGTAATCGCCTTGAGTATTAGCAATAAATATTTGATGAACATTGTTATTTTCCTTATTAAAAATTTCCGTCATTTTCTCCCATTGTTGAAACAGAAATGAGTATTTTGCCGCCATAATGTGGAAGATCCCTTTTTTGCCAACAGGAAAAGGCCACTTTAGATTACCCCAAAGAAAACTGATTATTATGTAAATTCTACTCCCTTAATTCAAACCCGAGTATTAAAATTAATTTTCAGGAGTTCAAACTCATTTTAGTATAAAATCCAATCATAATCGTAGCCTGTTTCCAAATTTCCCAAGTGTCTTCAATTTTTTGGGGGGGTAGTGATTTTCTTATTCCGTTTAAAACAAATTCAAGCCAGTCAAACTGATGTTACATAACTTTTTCACGGACCTTTTACCATTTGAGGACGAGTAACATCTATTCAAAGATATCATCAGTTGTAACCGTGATCCGCGACATGACACTTCTGCGGAATAATTGAAGTTGGACATATTATTTCCGATATTTGCTAATTGCTCTCAGCATTAATATTGCCAAGATCAGAAACACATTTATCAGTTCTAAACTTGATCGCTTGGTGATGCAATTGCTGAGCTTGCATTGGTTACAAAAATACCCTTCCCCCTTTCAAGCTAATAGACTACAATGACTCTCTCTTTCTTCGTAAATTATAAATGACTGAGCAAATCATTAAAGCAATTTCGAACAGTTTCTTAAAGTATGCTTATTTGTGGCCTTTTGTTTTGTCGTCAGTCACGGCTTGTAAGATAATAATACTTGACTGCTACTCGAAAAGTAAAAAAGGACGTTGGTTAAGTGAAAACAAAGCGATATACTGTAAGCTGTTCTAAAATCTTACTTGATGTATACTTTAAATGCAAGGACGTAGAATGTTTTTAGCAGGCAATTTAATCATGCTTCCTCAGTGTTGACTACAGTTTGTCCAATCGCGAGATTTTGGTTTTAATTACGTCTGAATTCAGCAGGTGTACCACAAATTCATATTCAGTTTTGAGGAGCAAAAGCGAAATTTAAAAGGATAAGCTTTACTTTATTTTAAATGGGTTAAATTGTTGTGTATCTAATTGCAATACTAAAATTGGTGAATCAGTTTACAGCCACATTTACAAATTACAGTAAATTTCTGAAGCAAGGATTCAAATTTCTAAAGGAAGATTCCATCCCTGAAGCTTGAGACTTTCTTCAAAGGCTCGATGAGAAGAGAAACTCCTAGTTTGTGTCATATATAATTCGCTTGCATGTCAAAGCAATTAATTTAGAAAGCGTATCATACATTTGGGATCAAAGTGACCGATGTAAATATGCCACAACAGCTCCACATTCACATGTCCGGATGTATAAGCGCCAAAAAACTTAAAGATTTCCTTAAAGGTGTTTTCCCTCTTTCCTGCAATTACTTCAAGGGGTCTTAACGACAAAGCTATTTTTAAAAAAATTTCCAACCTTTGCTAATGCGGCCATTTAGCAGTGGACTTGTTTTATCCCAAAAGGAAACAGTCTTGCCATACACACGCAGAACTTTGAAGAAGAATAATATCTACCAAGAAGATTTTGTTAATTGGCATGATTTACCGAACGAATTCGTTTCGAATCGTATTCATTTTGAACTTAATTTTGTGTTCGTTTGGTTGCAAAATGAACCTCACGGATAGAGCTTTCAAAGCGGGAGATCTTATTCTGGGCGGCTTGTTTCCCGTCCATTCCTATTGCTCGAATTGTTGTAAAGGTCAGTGCGGCGATCTTCGATCCCCTGACGCTCTTTATTTTGCCGAAGCCATGATGTACGCCATTGATGAAACAAACAGAAATTCAAGTATATTGCAAGGAATTTCTTTAGGATTTGAAATCTTCGATTATTGCTCAAAAGACGTAATAGCGTTGGAGAAAGCTTCTAATTTCCTTCCGTCGTGCTGGAAAAAGCCTTTATCACCAGTGGTTGGTGTTGTAGGACCTTATTCCAGCAGTGTCGCGCTTCAGGTATCCAATCTTCTTGGACTTTTCAAAGTGCCGCACGTGAGCTATGGCGCAACCAGTCCATTACTCAGCGACAAGAGCCGCTTCAAGTATTTTATCAGAACAGTTCCTTCTGACGCTGTGCGCGCTCAAGCGTTGGTGGATCTATTGTTGAAAAATGAAACAAAGTACGTGTCTGTTCTATATTCTGACGATGAGTTTGGCAGAGAGGGGAAAAAACGCTTCACGCAAGCGGCGAAAGAGCGAGGCATCTGTATTGGTATAACAAGGGCGCTACCTCAAGGTCATACAGTGTTAACATTTGATGACATAATCATGGACATGAGCCAAAAAATAAATGCCCAAGTTATTGTCCTCTTTTGTTCCAAAAGTGATATAAGTTTGCTTTTTACATCGGTTAAAAAGTTTGGAAAGGAAAGGTTTTTCAGATGGCTTGTAGGAGGTGATTACGCAGAGATGTCCGTTTACTTAAATGGAAACGAAGATATCGCTAAAAATATAGTTTTGTGTTCACCTCGTAATGAAAAGTCAACGAGATTCATGGAATGGAGAAACAGGAACAACGTAAGTCACAGCCCGTGGTTCTCAGAAATAGAGCTAAAGTACGAAACCTCAAAATATCGCCCTGAAAATGAAGGAAAAACAATATCCGCAGATTTATACATTCAAAGCGTCATCAACTCCGTGTACGCTTTTGCTCACGCACTGGACAAAATGTGCAAAACTTATTGTGTAAATAATTCTAACGCCGCAACGTGTTTGAAAGAAAAATCACTCAATCAAACCCTATTGCTGGATTATATTTTGAATGTAAATTATACGACGTTGAACGGACGGAAGATAAAATTCGACAAAAACGGAGATCTTTCCGCAGAATATGACATATTAAGACCTAAGAAAGAAGGGTCATCGTGGGGCGTCGAAAAGTTCGGCCGCTGGGGTCCACCGATAAAAGGGGCAGGGCCTGTTAAAGTGCAGCTATTTGAGGATGCACTTGTACTGCCCAGAACCTTTTGCAGTCGTCCATGCGATGTGGGAGAAAGAAAAATTACTATCGAGACTTGTTGTTGGAGATGCGAACCATGTAAAACCGATGAGATCACATCGAGCAATCAAACGGAATGTACACCATGCACACCAGACTTCATGGTAATATAGCTTTGCAGTTATGATTTTTCATATCGTTGTTAAGAATTTTATCCCTATTCATTTAGTATTCCCCATTTAAGAACAATTTTTATAACTACAGACGGGAAGCTTTGATTTAGAACTCGACATTTACTGCCATGGTATATCATAATTCTTTACTCTGCCAAGCTTCGAAAAAAAAGAGAATGTCAGCAATGTCACCACTGATCAACCTCTTAGCCTTGACTGGCTTGTTTATTTTTGTTTTCATCCTATTTTACCAACTTTGGTCACAGCTGTGTTCCACCTATTTGAGAAATTGGTATTGGAAGAGAAACAACGACTTTGAAACCTTGTGTTCTCACCTATTAGCGAGGAGCTGTTCTTTTGATTTTCATGAAATTAAAATCTGGACTACTTTTAACCATCTTTTCAGAATTTCTATGATAGTCTTTATCTAAATAAGACAGTACTTGGAGCATTTCTCATTAAAACGTCGTAGATAATCAGGGATTGCGCTGGTTTTCCCCAAAACGCTCCGTGATTGGCTCATAAACTCGTGTTGCCTCTAAACTTATCAAATAACTCGGGTTTTCCCACGCGTCGTTTTAAATTCTCGTTGACTGTTTAGGATTTTTCACTTTGCTCTGATTGACCCATGTGGTTACTTTGCTTCTGGTTATACTACACTAAGTTGAGAGACCTCAAGTGTTATGTTTGGCCTCATGTTATAATGTTTATTTTAGCCAGATGAAAAAAGAGTAAACTGCCTACCTAAACCAGTTATCAATGTCGACCCGTCGTCATCTCTGCTTCTCTTCACCTTGTCGCTCTCAGCCGCTGGAATTCTTTGTACTTTGTTCATGCTGGGTGTGTTCGTCATCCTCAAGCATCATCCAGTCATCAAAGCGTCTAGTCGCGGGCTAAGCTGTATCTTGTTGGTTGGAATCATGATATCTTTCGCTGAAAGCTTCGTAGATTTAATGGAGCCACGTAATGTATCCATGTTCATACTTTCCGGTTTTTGTTTCATTGTAAAAAGCAACACCAAATTTTCCGTTCGCGTTGGAATTAGAGTAGGAAGAGCAAATCTATAGAAATGCTGTTGCCAAATTCTATAAATTTTATGTACAATTAATTTTCCTTGTGATGAGGATCTTTTTCCAATTGTTACAATTATACTAACATCAACCTCAGTCGTTCATTTGGAAATTGACTCTACAGATTTGATGTATCGGTGTGTTGCATTTGTCAGATTGTCCCTTATAACGCCGGGTAAGAAAACCATAAACTGATAGTCCCTGATAACTTAATTGAATATGTTTATGTCCTATCCCTAGATAAACGCGTTTGCAGTTTGAGAGGATACACCTGTTTAGGCCATGTCACTTGCTATGCTGTGATGACCTCCAAGGTTCTGAGAGTGAATCGTCTCTTCAACAGCTCACTCCGTAAAACATTGAATCCTACATTTGTCAGCACGCGCTCACAGCTAGGATTCATAGGATTCATCTTAGGAATCGCCCTACTTTTCTCCACGATTTGGGGCTTTTTCACGTAAGTATCTAACAAAAAAGTTATGGCAACGTTAACTTATTTCATTTACTTGTGGTAGTTACGTTTCGCGTTTGATGTTTGACCACTTAAAGGATCCAAGTCAACCACAAGACACTCCGCGCCTGGTCCACCATTTTCTATGCCATCTAAATTCGGGAAATTTCCATTGTGATCTATCATCCAGCCTTCAGAAATTAATTCTGAGTAGGATATATTTTAATGACTTTACTTTACGATGTAAGTAATTGCGTGGGTTTTGAATAAGGTGCCATCTCGCCATCAGTATTGTCTCGAGGTTAATCAAAGAAGGACGATATTGAGTTATAAAAAGCGATATTTTCTACTGTGTACTATTTTCTTTGTTTTTAAGTGACCCTCCTCAACCGAATAACTTCAGAAATTCTTCGGGTATCCTCTATTTCTTTCTTTAAGAGAATTGACCTCACCTCATACGATTTTTATTTGTTTCCAGCTACCAAGACAGCGTTTTGAGAATCTATTCAGCAAAAGAGGTTATTGTCCAATGCAACATCTCAAACCCGCACGTGGTAGTCACCAACTCCTTCCATCTAAGCCTTCTCGCCCTGTGTGGGGTCTACACATTCAAAACCCGTAAGCTCCCAAAGCAATTTAAAGAAACCAAAAGTTTAGGTTTGGCGATATATACAGCAGCCACATTGCATTTAATTGTTTTATCTGTAGTTTGCACCATGAACAGCCAAAACTTGATACGAGGAAGGGTGGTTAGGTTAAGCCACCCTTTAGCCGCTTCAGCTGTGTTATTCCCCCTATTTTCGGCAAAGTTGTACAGTATAATTTTCCGTGCGGAAAAAATGGTAAAACAGCCGCCAAAGAGGAAACCTGGAGATATTCCGCAACGTTATGCAAATAGTTCCTTGTTGTTAAGAATGAACCAATCAACTCCAGATCTTCTCCGAAGGCGGCCTGAGAATGTATTCAACCTCCACCTAGGATCGTTTCCTGAAGACGTAAGAAGTTACGCCGGGTCGCTTGCGACAGTCTCCGACGATGCCCGCAGCCGTGCAACCTCTATCGATACATTACGAAGCAACTCTGGATGGCTGGACCGATGTTTAACTTTAGGCGAAGTAACCAGAAGAGGTGATCGAGATTCTCAGCTGAAGAACGAAAAGAATTACGACCATTCATTCTATTCCACTTGGTTATAAACTATCTATGCCAATAGCACGTAATGTCCCACACGTATTTTAATTATAGATTTAAAATTAAAGACATTTTACCTTTGTATTGGAGTAAACAGTGGGCTCCGGGAGAGTCTTTCCTCGTTTGTTGCGGTTTTCGATAATATGCGCACTCCGACCAATTATTCTCTCATGAAAGAATTTGAGCTTCGTTGAACTTCAATCAGCTGCTCCATTGACAACCAGCAACTCCTATTTTGGAGAAGCATATAGTCGTCGTCATGAGCGAAAAAGTTCTTTATTGGGATATTTGATTACACAAGAACAGAGAAGCTGTGAGCGATGCATTCGGCAAGAGAAAAGTTAATCAAATCGACGATTTAGGTATAATTATCAAAACTTGTGATGCAATTTTGTGGAGGTGTATAGGTAAAGACTGCCTCAAAGAGAGAGGGCCAAACGTTTCCATAGCAGAAATCGGTCTAGAAAGTATCTCCATGGTAAGCGAGTGCAAACGGTGTTCCGAGGGTAAAAAGTGAAGGGAGGCTGCTAAATGTGTCCCTGAGGGGTTTTAGATAAAAAGAATAGTTTCCCACGAATAATTCAAGGCAAAGCAGGTGAAAGATCTCAAAGAGTAGCGGGATAAGTTTTGGCCAAATGTTCCAGAGATCAGAGTTGGAAAAACTCATCTTTGGAACTTATCCGTCTATACTGCATGAGTAGTAGCCTGAAAAATTATATCCCACACGAAAGAAAATATTTTCTAAGTGTACGTGGAGAAAGTGAAAGACAATTTAGACTCCCTCATCCTACGCATAACGAAAAATGACAGGCAGAGAAATGTGATCAGGAGCCAGTTTCTCTGTCATGTCTGTCATTGTCCCAACACTATGATGAAAAAGAAGATGCTATTTGTGTTATCAATGCGGCTACACAAACGGAACCCGTGGATTAACCTTTCTATTGAACAAGCGAAAAGAGGCACGCAGGTGAAAGCTTGTTACGAGGCATTGATTGAACGACAATACAACAGTGCTACTCCGGAGCAACTAAATTGCTAATTGGAGGAACATACTATAAAACTCGAAATGGAACTGGAACTGAACCTGTGGGTATTTAAATTTCCAACTTGTCATGCCACTTTGGAAATATCCTGCTGAGTGAGTTGTACGTTATACAGTTCAAACTGTGACTGAATAAGTTAGAATTTTATAAATACCGTGTATTAAAGAAGTTAGGAACTGTAAGACTGTAACAGGTCACATTACAATAAACTTGTGGGATCACAAAATCATGAGAACTACAATGAAATCGTAAGGACGATTGATACTAAAATGAGTGAAGCATTTTAATTTCAACCACTAGAGCGCGTTCACTTCGCATTTCTTTCGGAGCTGACTGTAATAAAAGTTGCGGTTGCAAAGGTACTTTTAGGTCTGCAATTGTTTCTCAGGTTTCCTCGTGTAGTAAGTGGGATGCCTCAAACTCCGGTCGGAAATTTCCAAGGATCCTGCGTATTCCATTTACACAGAAATTCCAGAGGATGGCGCTCACAGTATGAACTTACATTCAGCGAGACAGTTTTACCGATAATTGTATTTGTATATGTATGAATGTATTTGCGATATGTAGACGGCCTGGCCCAGTTAAGCTTACAACTGGTTTAAAATGGGGCCTGTGTAAACGATGATGTGCACGTCAAGTCTACAACTGTTTAGCGACTCACTAACTCATCTTGTACATTTTTTTGAGGGACTTTAACGACGGCACGTTTTCACTGAACCTACAATTCATACTATTACAGCTGGTAACTCTAATTTTCATGGTAAGGATGAAAAGAAAACAAGCATGCCCATATTTACGATTAATTTTGATATCTCTTAATCATAGATTTTTTTGTAGAAAGCCCTATAAGATGCAAAGGAGAATAAGTGGATTTTGGCGCTATATCAATGTATTTATAACTGTTTACTTTATCATATCATTTATCATCAAAGGTGGTTAAACCAAACTTGAGATACCTGTGTATAATGTGTGAATGCGTGGTATTAATAATGCAGTACTTTTAAATTATGCACCACCGACTGCAGGCTTATTCTAATTCTGCATTACTTAAAGTAAAACATATTTGTCTCCAAGGAGACAGGTTTTCTGGCTTTTAACTCAACATTATCTCACTAAAGCAACTAGATTTCCTCCACGATTGGTCTCGGCAACTCACAGTGACCTACGGAACGTATATTATCGAACAACCATCTGAGGTAAAAAAACAAATCTTGAAATTTTTTTTTAATTGTTGAAAGAGTCTTGACATATAATAAATAATTTCTGATATTCTTATGTCAGTCTACCTGTATTCTTGTTTAAAAGTATGAAACGGGTCTAATTTATCTGAGATCCATGAAAATTTTTGCTTAGATTTTGTCTGTTATGGATGACAATTGTGGACGGTATCATACCTTCATTTTATTACAATGAAGGTGAGCGTTTGGCTCGCTTTTAGACGAAGAGGAGACAAAACAACAAAATCAAGTTAATTGAAGTTTTCAGGCTAAGGTTTACAAGTTTGATAAACCGCAGCCAGGACCAGTCACGTTCAAGAAGATCAATAAGTCTGCATTTTACAAGAAATAAAGGCCAATTAAACTTGCGGAAAAAATTTATTTTTTGAGTTATCGCAATCTTACGATTTTTGTATTTAATGATACAAAACAATCCATTCGATCCTCTTTAGATTTGCAAAATCGATGAAATAAAATGGCCGACGCCACCGACTGCCATGGCAACTGGATATTCTCCGGTCCTGATGGTATCAAACCGTTTTCCCGTTACGAGTTGCGTGAAGCCAGTTACTTTGGTCACACAACCTTTTCACTCGAGCGCACAAGTGACGTCAAACACGTATGGAGGGCACCTTGGCGGAGCGCGAACTTGCCCGCCAAAAGTGGCTGGGTCGGCGCCATTGGTTGGAACGTATGGTCTTACAATGATTGGCGGCTTCTGAAAAGCGGTCATCAGATCACAGCTGGTCCATTCCGGACAGCTACAGCTCATCGCATTGTTAACGAAGGAGTTTATTAACACAACAGTTCGAGATTCGTCATTGGAAAAATTGTTCTTGAAAATTTAACTAGCTATTGATACGAAAATGCTGTCATAAAAATTATTATCCATTCAAGTATTGTCCTGCCCATAAAAAACGAAATTCAGTATTTTGATTAATTCGTACCTTTTAATGATAGGAAGTTGTAGGGATGGAAGTAATTCGCTTACATCTTTTTTCTATGTTTCTGATCTCTTAAAAGGAAACTGCCTGACTTCTTACGTTCATGTTATCTTAATTACTAAAATTCTCCTAAATCACCACAAAATATTGGCGCGACGTGCATCCGTGCTCTTCGAGAATCGGCACTTTAGCAATTCTATAAGAAGCACTTACATTTTGATCAGCAGATTGTAAGATGTTATGGTATGCATCTGCAGTAAAATGTTATAACATGCATTTGCAGTGTTCTTCTCACGCGTTCGCAAGGTCAATTTTCGTGGAATGCTTCAGGGTAATCAGTACACAAAATTCATACATTCCACAATTTCGTGTGCATTGAATTGTATAACTTTGACTCGACAATCCTTAGTCAGTATCCAATATTGCAGTAACGTGGTCCGACCATGGCAACGAGTAACCTAAATTTATCTACAGGTCCTTCAGGAAAAGCCTCTCACAATTAAATACTTTATGGATATTTCGCAAATATTGTTGAAAACAAAAGATCGTGACCTATATAATTAATGAATAATCCAACGAAACCCAGTTTTAAGCCAACTTATTGTTTAAGGTATTTTTTTATCAAGAACTACTGGCACATCAGCTTTCCTGGACGCCATTCCCGCCAAAGCTTTTCCCTGTCAGTTCCAGAAGTTCTAATCACTGGTCGACCCGAAGGCCAGTCTTTTAACCTGTCGGATAGTTCTTTCATGGCCAACATTGAAAATGGTCGGTTTGTATTTCTTGTGGGAAACTTTCTTCTTCTTGCGTGATCATGTTGAAAAGAAAATGCTCGCTGGTAGTGACATATGTTTTGCTCTTGACTCAAAAGGCAGCCCATGACAAGGCAATGATGATCAATAGAAAGATAAAAACTTGTCTCTTTACTCTTGGAGAGAAAACCAAGTTTCACTGAAAAAAAGAAATGCATTTTAAACACCTAATAAGCCAAATAAACTGGGAAGATTTTAAATTTGTGATAAAAATGTCGTTAAAAGAGTGTGTCGCTGAAAACACAGGAGACAGTGGAAAGCAGTCTTCGTGCAGATTTTAATTAACCTCATTGCTTCCAAAATCACGATCGCATGGACGAGAGAAAGCCCTACCTGAAAAGTGATATATAAAATCATATACAGATGTCCAGTAATTCAAGCTTCAACCCGTTTTTGTGTCAGCATTGCCCATCAGTGAAAACTGAATCTAACCTCAACTGTTCGTGTCCGGAGCTAAGATTGAACGCTACTTGATGGAAAAGAATAGTTGTATTGTAGATATTAAGATGGCTTACGCAACTCAGTTATTTAGTATTGTTCCTACCTTCTTAAGAGATAAAACGGAACTGCGCATCAATATCAGCCGGACGTCCTCACAGACAAAGTTACGCAATCAAGGAATACAGTGAATGGCAACGATTTGACATAATCACAGCTTTCATTATCCGCTTCGATCGGATTTAAAAGTATGAGATAATTGTCTTCTATGCGATTAAATAACGCTGAAAATTGTGCATTTAAAATGTAACCCTTTTCGGTAAGTTAAGAAATCGTTCAAAAGAAGTGAATTGAAATGTGAGCCAGTCTAATGTCATAAGAAATACAGCAACGTTTCGTGTATGCCCTTTAGATTTCCTTAAAAAGTGGCTAATGTTATGATGAAGTCAAAAGGGTGTGATTAAGAGATATAACATTTTAAAGTAAATTTCAAAGACTTCTTGAATGGCGAGGTCGTCATGCGGCATGACGTCAATTTGTAATGCTTAGGA